TGGCCTGTAGAATCCATAATTTTAAACAGTTCCAAGATTGGGCTACTAGTTCAAAAGTTACAGCCCTTTGAATTTTTTTCGAAATTGTTTTCTAGTCTATAACTTTTGATTGAGAAGTCTGATCGAAAAAGTACGAATTGATTTGGATTCTACGCATACAAATTAATAAGAAAAAGTGTTTTCCCGAGAAATTTTGGTGTAGTCGATTTTTGGTAGAAAAGGAAGGTTATACACTGCCTTTTTTTGAGACTCGAAGAAAAAATTGTCTCAGATCGACCCGGAAAAAAATTTTTCTTATAGAATGTGACCTGTAGAATCCATAATTTCAAACAGTCGAAACAGCTGAAAATTTGCGATAAGACTAAATTTCACAAGTTTTTTTATGGACAATCAGAAAAGTTTCCCCCATAACGGTCTCTGCTAGAATATTCTCAACTGGAGCATTGGCCGCCTTTTTGCTTTAAAAAGACTAGGGTAAGGTATTCTAATGAAAGAATACCCACGTCTTGGAAAATTCGCTCCGTCCCACTAAAAGAAATCTCCTCTCGGAAAATTCACACCGCTCTCAATGTATGCATGTAATGTGACTTGGAGGAATAGATTTTGAAATTAATAAATTACCAATGAAGTACACCATTTCCAAAAAAAAATAAATCCGAAATAATGTAGTTTCATGCGCAATAAAGGCACTTGAAAAATAAACAACGAATTTAATTACCCATATCTATCTGCAGTAGGACCCCTTTTCACCTTATATCGATTATAATAAGCACTTAAATATCGATGTCGGAACTCATTTTCCCCAAATCAACCAAGGAAAAGGGGTGCGAGCGAAAGGGAAGCAGATAACCGAGTTTTTTAAACGAAGGTCGTCGCTTGATGCACGCAATAAAAGGGCTTCCCTTTAATTCCCATTAAAACTTAATATAATCACCTAATATTAAATTATGTAAGGAGACGGACCTGGTGAAAAATTAAAAAAAACGTAAAATCGATGCCGAGTAATAATAAAGGTACTTACTCACCGGCTAGGAAAACAAGTAATTAGCACAAAGATTCAATCGGCGAGCATTTTTTTAATAAACCCGCGCGTAGATCGCCGTGGGAATTCGATCAGTAAGCCGCTACCCTTTTACTATTATTTATCCGAAGGGTATGTCGGAAGCACGTGTAATTTCCCGCAATGTATAACTGCATTGGGTAAATCGATAAGCGCAAGCGCCTACAAATAAAACTTCTACGACAATACGATCCGAAAGAAAACTTTTTAATTCCTTTTAAGGGACGGGGGTGCGCCAATTGGAAAAGTCGCAGAATTCCGTCCCGTCTTCACGGGCAATTGAGGTTACTTCCATCGCCTCCGGAAGTGGCGAATTTTTTTCGAGAAATGTATGTCTCTATTTATAATCGCTTGGCACTCGTTCAAATATCTTCAAAACGAAAACGCATCAGAAAGTGTTTGACTGCAAATCGACATGAGTACTCCTCCCGCTATTCGTTAATTAATCAATCTTCATTATGTGCAAATTAGTGTTTGCTCAATTAGTCGGGCTAATTTCCGTCGCCCTCTTTCGCCCGGGCCTCGCCGCCTACGGTGACCCGTTAACAATCGGTAAGTCTTCGCCAAAGCTTTTCCTGATTAATTACAATCGACGTGAAGTGAAAAATTACGACCTCTGGTATTTTTGGAACAATTGAAACATTCCGAGCTCCGTTTTCGTTCGCATTCTCGAAATAAAAAAAAGCGCAACAATTCATGTGGAAAAGCGATTTGTGGGAGGACGTCGTAAATTCGCAAGTATATCGTGAGATAATGAAGGGAAATTAAACGTTCCCGTGGGCTCCTGCATAAATCCCTCCCGAACTTGGGGAGTAAATTGAACGAAAAAGTTTAGACCACGAACCATGTATTGTAATTATTTGCTTCACCCTGTACTTACATAACTATTAGATACTTTTGTACAATTCCAAAAGCCTATGCCTTTTGGAACTGGATAAAGAGTCATTCGCTCTATTTGTCTATGGAAATGGTGCTAATATTAATTATGATTGGGAAGTGTGTAACTACCCCTTGAATAACGGTCGCGAGTATTCTCCTTTGGAATGTAGGATGGGAATTGCTGAAGAAATTAATTTTTTTTAATTATGTAAATTTTGTAACGGGAGCACGTTAACGGAGATTGTCGGGAAGATCGCGCACAAACGGTTGCTTAAAAATGAACAATGCACTTAATCGAATAAACAAATTAATTTTTAATCAGCGGGAAAAAGGTGGAAATCGTATCGGTTTCGGAAGCCACGAGTAATCATGCAAAGAAAATAGAGGGCCGGTCATTGGCAAATAATCTTAAACAGAAACAAGGAAAACAAACCCCCCCTTATACTTAACGTAAAGAAAATATCAAGTACCAATTTTGAAATTAAAACTTCCAAGCCATAGCATATCCAGCGATGGATTTATGGACACACACGTACACTTACGGCTCATTACGTACATTTCACGTTATTTTTGCACTGCTTTGTAAATGCTAGGTACGTACTTTGCAACAAAGCATAAATGAATTAGCGGTAGCTACGGAAAATCAAATGCGGGAAAAGAACCCCCTCCCTTTATAATTAACGAAAGGAAAAGTGTCAAACGCTACCTTAAACATTTAACGGAGCGGAAGAGAAGAAAAAAAAAGATTTTCAATACAGGAGTACACGCTACCATCAAAGGTGCAAAACGGCTAAAGTTCCACGATTTAAATACGGTACGGTTGCCAAAGTAAATTTACAGTATTTCCGAACGAAAGAGATCCCCACTAAACGACGGCTTTACCTTATATAGAATTCGGCCATTTTATTGGAAGAACGGCGGTTTCCCAGCCAAACTAGTGTTTTCGGATAAGTACCTCCATAAATTAAAACTTCTTTAATTAATTGTGCGGCCTGCTGACGTCCTAAAAATCCGTCATTGGTCTTAAATTTAAAGCGCTCACGATTTAATCGGATGGTGTTTACTGCAACTCATTTAATTAGCAACGGTTAATTATATTCACTTAAATGCGCGAAAGAATTTCTAAATGCATACTTTCATTTAAATTTCTCAGGACAGGCAAAAGGTCTCGTATCAAACATGGCCTTGCAGTGTTAATGCTCGTTCTCATATACCATTGGAAACTAAAACCTGCCTAGTAATTGCTTAACGGAGCTGAAATATTAATTTTTCGTTGTCTTTCGAACGCTACAAAGATATTCCCATGGGAACAGCTCAAAATGAAAAAAATTGCTTTCCCTTTCGGGCGGCTCTACAAATTAAACAACTACTTTCCAGCTTCTATTTCAAAGTCCTAAAACAGAAATGAATATTTTCGGAGCGACAGTCTTCGTAACGAGGCGCTTTCAATTTCAATCGCATCCAAATACCGGGCGTTCCGCAGAGCTGGTAGATTCCACGAATGTAAGGGGGTTGTCATTATTTCTGGTATGAAACTAAGTGCTTCATTACAAGCAATCCTCGATCCAAGCAATTGCAATTGCTTCTCATCATAGCACTACCTCAAAAAACCAAGAAAATGAAAAGTGAACTAATTATAATTAGGTGCTAATTAGATGCTAATTAAGGGATCTATCCCCAAATTAAGTGCTTCTTTTTTTTTTAATGATTACATGTTCTGCCAGGTCATAATATGAACTCAGCAGAACACTACCTTTAAAACCCAAGAAAATGAAAAGTGAACTAACTGTAATTAGGTGCTAATTAAGTGGCCTATCCCCGAATTAAATGCGCCTTTTTTTTTAAATAAATGATTACATGTTCTGCCAGGTGCATATGAACTCATCAGAGCACTACCTCAGAAAACCAAGAAAATGAAAAGTGAACTAATTATAATTAGGTGCTAATTAAGTGCCCTATCCCCGAATTAAATTCTCTTTTTTTTAATTATTACATGTTCTACTAGGTTCATATAAACTCTAACCTAATTATTAGTTAGTTCACTTTTCATTTTCTTGGGTTTTTAAGGTAGTGCTCTGCTGAGTTCATATGAACCTAGCAGAACATGCATTAATTTAAAAAGAAGGAGCATTTAATTCGGGAATAGACACTTAATTAGCACCAAATTATAGTTAGTTCACTTTTCATTTCCTTGGTTTTTGAGGTAGTGCTCTGATGAGTTCATATGCATCTGGCAGAACATGTAATCATTTTTTTAAAAAAGGAGCATTTTATTCGAGAATAGGGCACTTAATTAGCACCTAATTAGCACCTAATTATAGTTAGTTTACTTTTCATTTTCTTGGTTTTGGAGGTAGTGTTCTGCCGAGTTCATATGAACTTGGCAGAACACATGCATTAATTTTAAAAAAAGGAGCATTTAATTCGGGAATAGGGCACTTAATTAGCACCAAATTATAGTTAGTTCACTTTTAATTTTCTTGGTTTTTGAGGTAGTGCTCTGATGAGTTCATATGCACCTGGCAAAGCATGTAATTATTAAAAAAAAAGGAGCATTTAATTTGGGAATAGGGCACTTAATTAGCACCTAATTATAGTTAGTTCACTTTTCATTTTCTTGGTTTTTGAGGTAGTGCTCTGATCAGTACATATGCACCTGGCAAAGCATGTAATTATTAAAAAAAAAGGAGCATTTAATTTGGGAATGGGGCACTTAATTAGCACCTAATTATAGTTAGTTCACTTTTCATTTTCTTGGTTTTTGAGGTAGTGCTCTGATGAGTTCATATGCACCTGGCAGAACATTGTAATAATTTTTAAAAAGAGGGGCATTTAATTCGGGAATAGGGCACTTAATTAGCACCTAATTATAGTTAGTTCACTTTTCATTTTCTTGGTTTTTGAGGTAGTGCTCTGATGAGTTCATATGCACCTGGCAGAACATTGTAATAATTTAAAAAAAAAGGAGCATTTAATTCGGGAATAGGGCACTTAATTAGCACCTAATTATAGCTCACTTTTCATTTTCTTGGTTTTTGAGGTAGTGCTCTGATTAGTACATATGCACCTGGCAAAGCATGTAATTATTAAAAAAAAAGGAGCATTTAATTTGGGAATGGGGCACTTAATTAGCACCTAATTATAGTTAGTTCACTTTTCATTTTCTTGGTTTTTTGAGGTAGTGTTCTGCTGAGTTCATATGCACCTGGCAAAACATGTAATTATTTAAAAAAAGGAGCATTTAATTCGGGAATAGGGCACTTAGTTAGCACCTAATTAGCACCTAATTATGCAATATGTTTGATTGTGTTCTGCTGACCTTGCTCTGCTAGGTTCATGGACTCAATGTATGTAGGTCAACGTATTTCGTTCTTGTAAGCTGCTCGCTTGACGTAGAAACTGGCTTCCAAACGTTGATCTATTGTTGATGTGTATGGAGAAGCAAGTGTGGAAGAATATTTAGCACTTTTACCACTAAGTACTAAAAATAAAACGCCACAATACATCAAACTGGTGGTGCATAAGCGCTCTCATGCGGAATTTAAAACATAAAATAATGTCTGGTTTCTCCGACCCCTTTTTAAAAGATAAGAATTCTTATCCCATCTCATAATACCCAATTCTTCAAAGGCTAAAGAACTAGAAAGAAAAACCTTCAACCCAACAATACGGTCTTTATTATTAGAAAATTAACCTTCTAGGTAACTTTATTTGTAAAATGTCACGGTAATGGTTAAACATACCAAGTAACACGCGATTACAATATTTTAAAATATCAGCTGCCCCTAGCTTCCGGGGCCTTTGGTAGCAATGCTTACGGTCTTAACGCTGAATTAAAAACGTACTACTTCGCGGCCACACCCGCCAGTTATGAACTCTACTGTTTGCAGCTAACTACGTAGTAATTCTGAAATCTTCGCTTCATCCATACTTTTTTTATTTTTACAAAATATGCCTACAAAATGGTAACTAATCAGTCCCAGAGACCAACGCGAATAATTTAAACGTTCTAGGGGGCTCCCGTTACAGTGTCTATGTCCGCAACGCTAGATGCAACAAACTTTTTTATTTTTGTCGCTTTCTTTTGTCTTTATTGGTGAGGTATAGTCTGTTTTACAGACGCTTCGGCGAGGTTGGACGTAGGATTACTTTTGCGCTATTTCCTAGAGTATTTCAGTATGTCAGTACCAAACACCAAATGCACAGCCCCTTCTCCTGATTCAACTAACAACAGCTACTCATTTTCAGGCGCTTTATTTAGTAAGGATAACTCTGAAGTAGAATTAGCATTTAAATATGCAGTTCAATGGCACAACATTTACAGTAGCGAAGGCACACACTACCTCACGGACGTAAGAAAAGTGCCGGTCAAGAATATGTTTACCACTAGCAAAATAGGTAACCGATTCGATTTCGCGGAACTTCTCCTGATGCTTAAATTCCAGTTTGCAACATGACAAACACGAGACCCGGCGTCATTGCCATATTTGGGTACGAATCCGCGCGCACCTCTCCCATGTCGCGTTCCGTCTGCAAAAAACTAGAAATACCCTACATCGAGACCAAATGGAAGTCGACCAAGTACCCGCCCCTAATCGCTTTGAATTTTTACCCGGCCGCCGATTTGCTTGCGGAAGGCTTCGCCACAATACTAAGACACATGAACTGGAAGAGCTACGCGATCGTCTACCAGAATGAAAAGGACCTGGTCACCTTGCAAGGCATTTTGAAGATACCCGATGTTTCCGACTATCCGGTCATAATTAAACAGCTGGAGCACGATCCGGAAGGTCCCGACGCCAGGTACTCCCCCTGTGAGTACCTCTAGTTTGAAGATATCTTCAATTTTCAGGTCGATGTTTAAGCAACTGAAAGATGGAAGCGTCTCTAAAGTCATCTTAAACTGTCACGTGGACGACATACTCTCAATTTTAATGCAGGCGAAAGAGATCGGATTTTTGACAATGTCGACGAACATCTTCCTAACGTCCTTGGTGAGTATTGACAACGTCGGGCTTTTGCAAAGGGGAGTGTTTGAAGGACGCGCACACGTTGGACTACGGCCCATTAAATACCACGGCGAACATCACGATGGTGCGGCTGTTCAATCCTGCCAACGAAAATCTGATCAGGCACGTGCAGAGTTGGGAGGTAGGCGAGATGAGGAGAAATCGACATTTCAGCGCTAGTCCAGGTACCGTGAAGGTGGGTGGTTCTCGGGGTACTCACGCCGAAACTAACTCGCCAATTGCAGACCACGAGCGCGCTAATGATCGACGCCGTGAATCTCTTGATCGAGAGCGTCAACCATCTGCACAAAACCGAAAAGATACGTCCGAGGCCAATGCATTGCGACGAAAGCGATACGTGGGAGGGTGGATATCGCATCGCCGCCTATATGAAAGAGGTGGTTTGTTTTGGAACTGCATTCGTTAACCTTTGTTTTACAGCACCACCTCCCGAATCCGATCACGGGACCTATACTTTTCGACGATTTCGGACGAAGGATTAATTTCACTCTGCACGTTGTCGAACTGAACGCGGACGTTGTGAAGGCGACGTGGAGTCCGTCCAACGGTACGCGCTTAAACATGACACTCTCCGCTCAGGAGAACCGTCAACTAATTCTGAAGAGCTTGCAAAAGCAACGGATTGTCGTCTCCTCTAAGTAAACCACCCGAGTAGAAAACGGGAAGCATGCGCCATCTTGAATTTTGGATCAGGGATTTCTCCGCGTTTTGATCGTGACCTGGCAGTTCCCCCGGTTCGATGAAGGGGATTGTTCCCTTGTAAAAATCTGAAACGGCTTAAAGATCTTGATAAATTAGCGCGCTTCCAATGACACTAAACCCAACCAAATCAGACGCGGTTTGCTGCAACACATCTAATTAGCTTTCTTAATTGGCCGGATTCAAGTTCCAAAATGAGTTAATACTCCAGTTAACACCCATTATTACTTGTCATTTCATAGATCAGTGTTATCTACGTACTCCGGTGACCTTGCTCTTTTTAATCCTGGTTTTAAACTTAACACTGTAAAACTGCAAAAGGCTACTAATTAATACACTGAACGGAAGTTACGAAATATTAACTTTCTTTAACCTTCCAAATGAGAGCTTTCACATAATAACTGAAATATCTTCACGGGAACGGTTACAAAACTGATAAATTGTTTTTCTACTATTGGCGGTTGAATTCATAATGAATTTCATTGTCACCTCCTGGAATAATTACGTCTATGGTGTTACGGTTTTTAGTAATGAAGCTCGTGTTCGAGTTCATCGATATACAGTGTGTTCATCAGGTCTGGTAGATTCCATGTACAAAAACGAGTGCTTCCTTACAACTTTATCCCAACGCCATCTTCCATATTATTCATCTGATTTGCACCAGTAAGCGGGAAACCCTACACCACGGCCTTGCACCGCAAACCAAGTTACGTATCCGGAAAAATCTCCTTCACCAAGGCCTTAGATAGATGGCGCATGCTGCCCATTTTCAACTCACCCAGCACCTCGTCGCGTTATTCCAACCGTATGTAAGGATTTTAGCCCCGTACCTGATGTACCGCAACCGCTCCAACCTAAACGAGGACGTCGGGAGTAAGTATGAAGGTTACGTGGCTGATTTAATCGAGAAGATCGCCGAAGAGCTTAAATTCACGTACGAGTTCTACCTAACGCCCGATACCGCAAACGGCAACTACGACGAGAACTCCCAAACTTGGAACGGAATCATGGGCGACGTCATATCGGGCGTCGCCCAATTGGGCGTATCCGATCTGACGGTCAACCACCAGAGGCGACAGTTTGTCGACTTTAGCAACTACTTCATGACGCTAGGTGAGTACTTTGACTTTGGACGTGCACCCATACGTTTTGTAGGGATCAGCATCTTGTACAAGACGCCCGATCAGTCCGAGGCGAACATGTTCGCTTTCAAGGACCCTTTGTCCGACGACGTCTGGATGTATACCGCCACGGCGTTTCTGGGGCTCTCCATCATGCTGTACATGATTGCGCGAATGGCACCGGGTGACTGGCAAAACCCGCATCCGTGCGAGACGCACCCGGAAGAGCTAGAAAACATTTGGAACCTCGGCAACTCACTCTGGTTAACAATGGGTTCCATTATGACCCAAGGCTGTGATATCCTGCCCAAGTGCGTTCGTCGCTCAAAAACCATTGGCCTTTAACAACTGTGTTTCTAGGGGAATTTCCTCGCGGATGGCCGTTGCTATGTGGTGGTTCTTTTCGCTGCTAATGACCAGCTCCTACACGGCGAACTTGGCGGCGTACCTGGCCAAGGAGCGCATGGGTCCCTCTATCAACAACCTCGACGACCTACTCAACCAAAATAAGATCAAATTTGGCACACTAATCAATGGAACGACGTACGAATTCTTCAGAACGTCCAACTATTCGAAACACAAGGCCGTTTGGGAAAAGATGAGCAACTTTAAACCGAGCCCGTTCGTCTCCTCAAACCCGGAGGGCGTAAAAAAGGTCTTGAACAAGAATCAGGAGTACGCGTTCTTCATGGAAAGTTCGACGTTAGAATATGAGCGTAACAAGGAATGCGAACTAATTAAGATTGGCGATTGGCTCGACTCCAAAGGTTACGGCATTGCAATGCCTCTAGGTAAAACAAATTACCGTGCGCCTATATCGAAATAAATTATCTTTTAGACGCCCCCTACCGGTCCGAAATAAACAACGCTATTTTGAAGTTCCAAGAGAGCGGCGAATTGCAGACGCTCAAGAACAAGTGGTGGAAGGAGCTGAACGAGGGTGAAATTTGCGAGGTTTGCCCACGGAGTAGAGTAGGTACACTCTGCGTTGTTAACACAGACATTTCAGGAGGTTGAGTCCGAGATAGGGGAGATGGGCCTTAAATTGCAAAATGTAGGTGGCGTGTTTTGGGTGTTGGGGGTGGGGGTGGGGATTTCGTTTATGATATCCATAGTCGAATTTTTGTGGAATGTGAGGAACGTTTCGGTACAAGATCACGTAAGTTTTGACGTGTTGCGGCGAGAAATGATGGTATGTTGCTTTCAGATTACCTACTGTGAAGCGTTGGCCGCCGAATTTAAGTTCGCCATCAATTTTTGGGTGACAAAGAAAGCGGCGAGGGTGGAGGTTAAGGAACCGTCTCAATCAAGAGAGGGGTCGGAAACTCGCAGTATGGCTGGGAAGATGCTTCAGGGAGCTGGGTCTTTTTTACGCTTGGAAACCATCTTTGATCGCATGAGTGTCAGCAGAAACGACTAAGGGTTTTTGATTGCGGCTGTGCTTTGTTAATTTTGTATGCTCATATATTTGCTAATAAAAGATGAAAACTTGAAAAGGAGACCAATGCGGCTGCTATTTCAGGCTAGAATTGAAATTCTTTTTCGCCCACTCACATATTGTTGTTTTGTTTTTGCATTATGAGATACCGATGATCGGATTCTGTCGGCGTCTCGGATTAGAACAAGAATTCCAGGAATAAATTTCTATTTTCAAAAAATTTCCGGGCACGTTAACTAAAATGGAGTCCGTGGAAGCCATCTTGTAAAATTTATCCATTTATCAATTTATCCATTTATTCACTTATTCACTTATTCACTTATTCACTTATTGACTTATTCACTTATTCACTTATTCACTTATTCACTTATTCACTTATTCACTTATTCACTTATTCACTTATTCACTTATTCACTTATTCACTTATTCACTTATTCATTTATTCATCTATTCATTTATTTATTTATTTTCGTTCAATTACAGAGTGATCCGCATAATACTTTTTAGAAGTGCTCCTGTAGAAGGTATTAAGTTGTTCTATACTGCTCTGGTATTTACCCCACGAATTAGGAAAGTTGCAGGAAAGCCTAATTCGGAGTGCCCAGGGGGAGATCGGGTTTTGGTTCGGCAGATAGTGTACTTGACCAAAGTTAGGTAGGCAGTGAAGACCATCACCAGGGATGGATGCTCAACTACAACAAGGTCTCGACCTGCTAGTCTTCAAGCTATGTACGTTACTAAGGGCAAGCTTTGCCTTCTGGGATACATACCTATGGCGTGGAGGGACTTAAACGTCATATTCATACCGAAAGCTGGGCGCATACGCCCTAACCATCGGTCTATCGTCGTTTCCCCTCAAACTAACGGAGAAACTTATTGAACTACACATGAGGGATGACGTGCTGGGGCCTGAACCAATGTTCCTATCAACCAGGAAAATCCTGTAAACGTGCCATCCACAGAGTAGTGAATGTAGTTGAGAGGGCGATCTCCTGTAAGCGGGTAGCTCTAGGGGCCTTCTAGATACAGAGGGGGGATTTGACAACGCCACTCCACAAACGATTCAAACTGCTATGGCAAACAAAGGACTACATTCTACCGTGTTTAGATTGATACTAACTCGGAAAAGTGCAAATGTTGTGTGTGAGGGTGAGGGTGAGGATGTGTGCGAGGAGGTTTTTCAGCTCCTAATACACGAGGGACCAAACAGAAAATTATTGTAAAACTTTGTCTGGCTACTAGGAGAACATAATAGTCGAGGAGGTCTTTTCCCATCACCCACAAAAATATTTCGAAGTCAAATTTCGTTTTAAATCTTTTCCAATTTGGTATCAGGAGGTTATAATGTTCGAGGAGGTGTTTCAGCTCCTAATACACGAAGTGCCAATCAAAAAATTTTGTAAAATTTTGTCTGGCTACCAGGAGAACATAATAGTAGAGGAGGTATTTTCCCATCACCCACAAAAACATTTCGAAGCCAAATTTCGTTTTAAATCTTTTTTAATTTGGTATCAGGAGGTTATAATGTACGAGGAGGTGTTTCAGCTCCTAATACACGAAGTGCCAATCAGAAAATTATTGTAAAATTTTGTCTGGCTACCAGGAGAACATAATAGTCGAGGAGATCTTTTCCCATCACCCACAAAAATATTTCGAAACCAAATCTCGTTTTAAATCTTTTCCAATTTGGTATCAGGAGGTTATAATGTTCGAGGAGGTGCTTCAGCTCCTAATACATGAAGTGCCAATCAAACAATTTTGTAAAATTTTGTCTGGCTACCAGGAGAACATAATAGTAGAGGAGGTATTTTCCCATCACCCACAAAAACATTTCAAAGCCAAATTTCGTTTTAAATCTTTTTTAATTTGGTATCAGGAGGTTATAATGTACGAGGAGGTGTTTCAGCTCCTAATACACGAAGTGCCAATCAGAAAATTATTGTAAAATTTTGTCTGGCTACCAGGAGAACATAATAGTCGAGGAGATCTTTTCCCATCACCCACAAAAATATTTCGAAGCCAAATCTCGTTTTAAATCTTCTCCAATTTGGTATCAGGAGGTTATAATGTTCGAGGAGGTGCTTCAGCTCCTAATACACGAAGTGCCCATCAGAAAATTATTGTAAAATTTTGTCTAGCTACCAGGAGAACATAATAGTCGAGGAGGCCTTTTCCCATTACCCACAAAATTATTTTGAAGCTAAATTTCGGTTTAAATCTTTTCCAATTTGGTATCAGGAGGATATAATGTTCGAGGAGGTGTATCACCTCCTAATACACGAAGTGCCAATCAGAAAATTATTGTAAAATTTTGTCTGGCTACCAGGAGAACATAATAGTCGAGGAGGTAGTTTCCCAGAACCCACAAAAATATTTCGAGGCCAAATTTCGTTTTAAATTTTTCCAATTTGGTATCAGAAGCTTATAATGTGCGAGGAGGTGTTTCAGCTCCTAATACACGAAGTGCCATTCAGAAAATTATTGTAAAATTTTGTCTGGCTACCAGGAGAACATAATAGTCAAGGAGGTCTTTTCCCATCACCCACAAAAATATTTCGAAGCCAAATCTCGTTTTAAATGTTTTCCAATTTGGTAACAGGAGGTTATAATGTTCGAGGAGGTGTTTCAGCTCCTAATACACGAAGTGCCAATCAGAAAATTATTGTAAAATTTTGTCTGGCTACCAGGAGAACATAATAGTCGAGGAGGTCTTTTCCCATCACCCACAAAAATATTTTGAAGCCAAATTTCGTTTTAAATCTTTTCCAATTTGGTATCAGGAGGTTATAATGTCGAGGAGGTGTTTCAGCTCCTAATACACGAAGTGCCAATCAGAAAATTATTGTAAAATTTTGTCTGGCTACCAGGAGAACATAATAGTCGAGGAGGTCGTTTCCCATCACCCACAAGAATATTTCGAAGCCAAATCTCGTTTTAAATCTTTTCCAATTTGGTAACAGGAGGTTATAATGTTCGAGGAGGTGTTTCAGCTCCTAATACACGAAGTGCCAATCAGAAAATTATTGTAAAATTTTGTCTGGCTACCAGGAGAACATAATAGTCGAGGAGGTCGTTTCCCATCACCCACAAGAATATTTCGAAGCCAAATCTCGTTTTAAATCTTTTCCAGTTTGGTATCAGGAGGTTATCATGTGCGAGGAGGTGTTTCAGCTCCTAATACACGAAGTGCCAATCAGAAAATTATTGTAAAATTTGCCTGGCTACTAGGAGAACATGATGCTTGTGGATGTCTTTTCCCAATCTCCCACAAACATCTTTCAACGCCATACTTGCCGTGTATCATAGAAAACGGTTCTTTTTGTGCCCCAAAGGCCAGAAACCCTCGATTTAACAACCGAGGGTTCTTGAACGAGGGCAATGTCCTGCTTTACACTGAAGCGTCTGCCTAAGGTTACAGCAGCCGCCGTACAGTGTTGCAGGTCTATGTGTATAAAATGCTCTTTCATACTTATGTATGTAGACAATACCTACCTGCATATTGCATTAGCAAACTCCTCCCAGCTGGAAATCGGCCGGGGTGAGTTGCTGACGTTGGAGCAAGCACTGAGCACAGGTTGCCTTGGCAGCCTGAGCGGTGATGCTTCCGTAGCTTGTTTCAGTTGCCCATGTAGCAGCTGCTGGTGTTGTTGTGTTGGTTGTACTGACGTACTCTCTGCCTCATCAGGTTCGGCACCCTCACCTTTAGAGAGGAAAACCCAAAAGGGAGCCTTCCCCCTTGGCGATTAGGTTAGCCTGCTCCTTTTCCCCAATGCCAAAAACTATCAGTCTCACTTGAGGTTGATCCTTCACGCCTGTGGGGAATAGGCACCAGCTGCCTACTTTTGCCCACGAATTTTGCACTTTCAAGCGCCTCTTGATCGCCACCAGGTCATCAGGTTTCCCTGGGACGTAGATGGGAGCCTTACCGAGCCTAGGGAGAAATTCTTTGTGCATTACTTTTAGGTGCGCAGCCTCCCAATAGCACGAGATTTTTAGGATCTCACCCGCGTACCTCCACCCACTGCACGTGGGTGCTAGTGGAGCGCTGTCCTGTTTCTGTCAGCCTGGCCTTCTTCCTTCTCTTCTGGTCAGCGCCGGAGATGTGCTTGCTTAGTTTGTTGTGTTGAGATTCGGTGACCTGCAACAGAGTGTGAGGAGTATCTTGGAACGCTCCCTCTAGTTTGTGTCATCCACGTCAGACTGAGGGAGGTGTTTGTGCTCCTAATACACGGACTATCGGTCAGCATGCTCTAGTAAAATTTCTCACTTTAACAGGAGAACATGATAAAGATGGAGTTATTTTGCCATGCTCAAGGGAAATATAGAGGTACTCAAGAATCAAGTGCGAGGGGGAGGGGGGTGCTATCATCATATCATATCTCATCATCATATTATATATATATATATATATATATATATACAAAAAGTTCAAAGGGCTGTAACTTTTGATCTAGTAGTCCAATCTTGGAACTGTTTGAAATTATGGATTCTACAGGCCACATTCTATTCCGGGTCGATCTGAGACAATTTTTTCTTCGGGGCTCAAAAAAAGGCAGTGTTTTACCTTCCTTTTTTACCAGAAAATCGACTACACCAAAAATTCTCGGGAAAACACTTTTTCTTATTAATTTGGGTGCGTAAAATCCAAATCAATTTGTACTTTTTCGATCAGACTTCTCAATCAAAAGTTATAGACTAGAAAAGAATTCAAAGAGCTGTAACTTTTGAACTAGTAGCCCAATCTTGGAACTGCTTGAAATTATGGATTCTACAGGCCACATTCTATAAGAAAATTTTTTCTCCGGGTCGATCTGGGACAATTTTTTCTTCGGGGCTCAAAAAAAGGCAGTGTTTTACCTTCCTTTTTTACCAAAAAACGAGTACACCAAAAATTCTCGGGAAAACACTTTTTCTTATTAACTTGGGTGCGTAGAATCCAAATCAATTTGTACTTTTTCGATTAGACTTCTCAATCAAAAGTTATAGACTAGAAAAGAATTCAATGGGCTGTAACTTTTGAACTAGTAGCCCAATCTTTGAACTGTTTGAAATTATGGATTCTTCAGGCCACATTCTATAAGAAAATTTTTTTTCCGGGTCGATCTGAGACAATTTTTTCTTCGGGGCTCAAAAAAAGGCAGTGTTTACCTTACCTTCCTTTTTTACCAAAAAACGAGTACACCAAAAATTCTCGGGAAAACACTTTTTCTTATTAATTTGGGTGCGTAGAATCCAAATCAATTTGTACTTTTTCGATCAGACTTCTCAATCAAAAGTTATAGACTAGAAAAAAATTCAAAGGGCTGTAACTTTTGAACTAGTAGCCCAATCTTGGAACTGTTTGAAATTATGGATTCTACAGGCCACATTCTATAAGAAAATTACAAAATTACAAAACTCTTTCAATTTGTACTCCACGTGCTCAGAATACTTATAAATGTTGAGGCTGTTTGACAGTTAAAAATCATTGCCATTCGTCGTGGTTTTCTTGGGTAGGTAGATTACATAAAAATCTCCCCTCGTATTTATTTATTTATTTATTTATTAGCTCAACAGGCTTGTGCCCAATTACAGAGTGACCCGCATAATTCTTTTTAGAGGTGCCTCTGCAAGTCTGAAGTTGTTCGATACTACTCCGGTATTTACCTTACGAATTAGGAAAATTGCAGGAAAACCTAATTCGGAGTAGCCGGCAGAATGCCCGAAACTGGTCTAAGGTAATTCCCATTTCTGCCACTTCAACCCAGGTTCGAACACCCGACTTTCCGGATTTCTAGTCCAACGCTCTACCACTGAACCATAGAGCCATTATTATTAAATGTGGAACAAGAAGAAAATCTACCCATACTGTCAAAAAGCTTCGAAATTCTAAAAAGATCTCCAAGGTTCTTCCACAAGACTTGAGTCTGGGTTCTTTAGGGCCACTTTTATGTATATGAAAGTTTGAAATCCTGGTGCTTTAAAATAAGTGTTTAATCAACGTATTCAATAAAATGTGACGTCTAAAGGAGGTTTTATGAATCCTTTAGACTTGCTAAGAAACTTCAGAACCTTGACTTAAAGGTCATCTACATTATCGAAGAGCCTCCAAAGCTTAAAGCGGTTTCCACGTACCTTCCAAAAAGGTATTTTTAAGACCCGAGCACACAAAAAGACTTCCAGGAAGCTTACAAGGTGCAGAATTGCGTTTTCTTTATAACTTACGAAGTGTAACTTGTACGCACGTGCTTGTTTGGCAACTTTTCTGGGATAATTTATGGTGGCTTGTAAATTTGTTTAAGTTCTTTACTTTTTCCCTATGTAAACCTTCCAGATAAAAATCCTCGCTACGATCGTAGATATAAGTAACTAAGGTTCTTCTAATTTTCGTCCTTCTGAAACGAAAGCGTGATTCAGTATGACGAAGATATGCGTAATCGTGTTCTTTGTTACAGTTCTCTTGGTTTTGGAGGTAAAGGTAAACTATGCATAATTTACGTTAATAATTATTCTAATCTAGACCCAGACCGCCGACAGCGGTATCACAACGCGCAATAAAAATGTGGAGCCGTTCATGAGCGAATGCATCTGTGCCTCAGGCGCAAATCCAGACGAGGCCTACTCTTGGTTCACGCGCCGAACCTTTTTTCCATCCTCGTGCTTTAAATGTTTTCTTAAATGCATGGCCAGAAAAATGGGTCTTTTGAAACCGGATGGTTCATTCGATCTTGATGCCGTATCGCGGGTGTTTGGCTCCACCATTAGTAGGGAGAAAATCGCCCCGTGCATCACAGCTCAGGATGCTAATCTGGATCTTTGTGACAAGGGATACCAAATACCACATTGTATTTATCAAATCATCAACGCAAATGCCACAAACTAGCCAACAGTTACAGCATAGTGTCCAAGGGCTGACCTTAGATTTTAAGAGTATACCTCGAATAAAGAATTAAACTTTCTACAACTAGTTTTACAGAATGTATGTAGTAGTGCACATCTTGGTAAACATCTACTTCATGGAAGAATGTTTCAAATAATAGTTTTATTTGGTCTTTCATTTTCAACACATCGCGATTCTTTAAGTATTTCCATTTCTTAAATGTAATCACGCTGGGTTTTTTTAAGTTGTATGAAGAGTCTGATATAGTTAAATCCTGTAATTTAGGAACACATAATTTTTATCTACTGCGCTTTCGTTTTGAGAAAATAAGAATAGGTAACTGAAACGTCTTTTTTCTCCAACCACCTGAATAAGACGCTATTTTGTGACAGTGTTCGGTACCTAAAATTGACGTTTTGCGGATTAATCGCTTTCACCATGGCAACTGTACAAAAAGTGGATACTTTTGGTCCTAGTACCAAAAAGAAATTGACCTTGAAATTTGGCCAATTAAAAAATTACAATCACGGAGATATGTCACATTGACATCGTTTTACATTGCAGGTTGTAAGATATTTCTATACATACAAATCAAATATTTTTGCATATTCAATGCAAATAATGTTGTTACCTATACGTATGTACGTACATGTATTGAAAATGATTTACGCTCGCTATTTTTATTTAAACCATGTGTAACGTAATTTACATATTCCGTGAACGTAATTTTAATACGTATACAACCCGCCGTCGCGCGTAACGCCATCTACTTCAGACCCATTGCACTATTATCTGTCATTTTGAATTCAAAATTTGAAAAAGTTAATTGCATTTAATTTTAATTAAAAAACTGTATGGTAAGTTTGTTATTTCAATACAAAATATAACAATATTAATTGTGTATACAATAGAAATGACTGAAACTGATAGCGACATGGATTGCACTTCGCCAGAGATTTTAGAAACGGCAGAACATGCTACCTCAAGATTTGCTCCCTACAAAGTCGCGAGAGGTGAGAAGTAAGAAGTAAGAACGAATAGGTTATAAGTTAACCTAAAAACTAGAGTGGCATGACACGTGAGGACAAGAAAGCAGAAGTTCTTATACTATAGTAGTGAAACTGTAACTGAATCTAGATTCGAATATAATTTGAAGTAAAGGGGGTTGGAGAAAAAATTTTATGTTTTATTCGTACAAAAAATGCGTTTTCGGGACTCGGAAGGTTGCTGGACTCCGCTAACGCGTCGTCCAGCAACTATCTTCCTCGTCCCGAAAACTGACATTTTTTGTACTAATGAAACAAATAACTATTGTGGAGTAATTAAATACCAAATAGTTATACCTAGTTATAGTATATCTACAATATTATGTGTAATATTCGCTACTTTTGAGACGCTCTTAATATTAAAACAGAATCAACATATAAACACAAACAAAGTGATAAGTCTAAAGTTAAAAATATTTACATTATAAGATCAAGATGAAAATAGAAAAAGGTAAAAGTAATTTGAACGCTATTTCTTTAGTTGAAAAGGGTGACAAAGGAAATGAATTAAATTTATTTTAGACAAAACGAGTATGTATAAATGATAATAGAACAATGCATTTCATAGATGGCACTAAATTTGGATAAGTAATTAAGATAATATTATAATTAAAGGTAAATTTGAAAAGCCCCCAATAACACAAATTGCACTTCATAAAGAAACAATAAGAGAAATATCGTAATGACATCCTTTCTATTATTTCTGGAAGATGAATAGGGTTTATTACAAGGTAAAAGTAATTAGGTCCGAAAAATCAGGTTTAAGTACGTATGATCACAACTAATTAGAACTTTAACGCCTGTATAGTATCTTCATTCTTGAACGTTTGACAGAGTGGTATTTTAAAATTTATCTGAGCACGGGTTTTGATTTTGTGTATTCTTTTTTTTTAATTTTAAAAAATTTTATTTCTGGTGGTAGTGTTGTGGTGGTGTTCAGAAAAGGTAAGTTTCCAGTTTTCTTAGAACCAGTTTTACGTTTCTTTGACCACATATGGCTATATGTTGATTATTGGTGACTGAGTAAAATTACACTAACTGCTTATTTTTTTGGGTTATCTTTGCTACAACTATGGTAGTGAATGAACTTAAAAGTTTCTTTTTGATTTTCTTACTGTTATTTATTTTATAGTTTGAAGAGATACATGGAAAAATTCTGGCATTTTTTTAAGAGATTGTTAATAATCAGAACAGTAAGGGTTTTGAAAATCTTGAAACGTTTCAGGAACAGGTCGACATTGATGATTTTTTCTTTTAAATGTTTGTAATTATTAAGTACCTATATACTGCCTTTTTAATTTTTGTATAGCATACCTAGTACCTACTAAAGCAAAACCCTTAGCATTGGTAATTGCGCAACAAGGAAGATAGGACATCATTGGAAAGGCTTTCCTTCTCTGAATTTGGTGAGACTATAATTTTTTAGATTTGATATTTTCGAAATATTTTAAAAGTAAGTTGAGGGCGCGCTGTTGTTTATGTCATTTGAAGGATTTCGGGCCGATCCCTATGTAATAGAAGCTAATGCGATCGTGCGTCAAAATTATGCAGTTGCAAGTGCAATAAAAAAGAGAAAACTTGTACCTGCAACGTCGAATGCGCTGGAAATGAAACAACTAAACCAAAAAAATTACATATCCGAATTCAGAGATGGGCAACCTTACCAACGATACATCATTTAAGATTTTAAGGATTGCACTGTCAGCGATGCCAGACAAAGACATTAGTGAGCAAATTTTATTTTAGACACTTTCCTCCCATGACCAATTTGACGTGCCAAAGCGTTTTTTGAAAATTATTTTAATTTACAAAAATAGCTATGTGTCGTTTCTAATGCACCACCATATATTATTTAGCTTCGGAGAAATAACACCAAAATCTCCCCATAAATTGTTATATTAATAAATGCGTAGATTTTGGTGTTATTTCTCCGAAGCTTCTTAAGCACCCCATTGAGAGTCATGGATCTTCACAATTTCAGTATATTATTTAAATAATAGCCATATAATTTATAGCGAGATCAATTTTTTTCACGATATTTATCAACATTTTTAGCGCATTTCCACAAAAATAAAAATAAAATGCGCTATTGTGGCCACTTTGTCCGTCCGTCCGTCCGTCCGTCCGCTAACTTTGCGACCCTACTAGTTTTTTATCTTAAGAGCTATTGTTCTACTTTTTTCGCTATTTGGTTCGTTATGGTGTCGAGTCTTGTACCAAGGAAGGAATTTTTTCTGTACCGCTTACAAAAAAAAGTTATTGTAAAAAAAACAAAAAACCGTTTTTTACATGTTCCATAATTTTACACTTTTGCCGTTTATTAACGATCCTAGAGATCGTTTAGGATCGTTTATAATTTTGCATTGCTATCTGTCGCCTGCCGGTTGGTCTCTCCGTCTGTTCCTTTGTCTGTCTGTCCATCTATCTGTCCGTGTGAACGATAACTTTGTTTAGAAATGTTCGATCGCTTTTACATCTCCGTTAGTTATGAACTGAATTGCATGAAATTCAATAAGGGCATAGATTTAGCCATATAATACGCAATGCCAAAAGTTGGATCGAATCGATTCAAAATTCACAGTGCCCTTTTCGCATCTCGACCATTTATAAACCGAATTGCAAACTTTTTTACTTATAAAAGTATTTGAATGAAATTTAATACATAGGCACTTGGAATAAAGGAAAATCAAACGCCAATTTCAAAATTTGGTTTTGCGCATGCGCAGTGCCAACTTTTTATTTATGGAAGAATTTAAACGAAATTTGATACATAGGCACTTGGAATAAAGGAAAATCAAACGCCAATTTCAAAATTTGGTTTTGCGCATGCGCAGTGCCAACTTTTTTATTTATGAAAGAATTTAAATGAAATGTGATACATAGGCACTTGGAATAAAGGAAAATCTAGCGCCAGTTTCAAAATTTTATTTTGCGCATGCGCCGTGCCAACTTTTTTTATCTATGGAACTATTTAAGTGAAATTTGATACTTAGGCGCTTGGAACAAAGGAAAATCTTAGTTTATTAGTTAGTTATAGTAAATTAGTTTTAAAATTTAGGTTTGCGCATGCGCAGTTCCAACTTTCTTATTTAGAAAAGCATTAAAATGAAATTCTTCTCATAAACTGAAATTGAAGTAGCACGTCAACAATGGATTGCCCATGTGCAACGCTATCTTTCATATTTGTGGCCGGATTTTACGATTTTAACAGAAGTTGCATCTTACAAATGGGAAATGAATGCAAGTGGAAATGCGCTTTATGTAAATCGTTTACGATTAGTTTTTAACTTGTTTGCTTTTTTCGTTACTTTACAGTTCTTATCTCTTTAATTTTACGGAAACTCTCAAGAATCTATTTCTTTTACGTTCAAATATGATTATAATTTACTTGAGATTCTTTTAAGACAATACATACGTATTTCGTTATGTGTCCTTTAAATGGACGACATCGAAGGTTAGAGAACTAGGAAACTTAACTTGCAGCTATTAACAAAGAATAATTGTTAAAATTTTATTTAGACTTTTATATTCCTATTGCAATATTATTTGTACGTGCTAAAAGGTTTCCAAATGAAAAAAACCTTGATTGTGAATTGGTACAAAAAAATTGGGTAAATAGGTTTAAGAAATATCAGGTGACAGTTTTGCTGATAGACCGATACCAGCGTTTAGCAGCATCCGTCTACTTGTGAACATGAGTGCATGGACAATTTACATCACGGATGAGTGTCTTTTTACCTTTTTTTTTGTTTTTTTTTTAAATAAATTTTCATTCATGGCACCTTTAGCAAGTGTTCTCATGTTTAATACGGAGATTACAATAAAATAAGTACTAAATTCCAGATTTTGAGTGATATGGATGCCATTAAAGTGACCTAAAATCTCTACTGCTTTGATATGGTCCATTCCATTTAAAAAGGTACATAGGATTGTACGTATGAATTCTTGCCTTATAAATACTATTAAAAAAATTATTCCTCTACAAATTGTATGGCTATTGTTTAACCAACATAAATATTGAAGTGCCACATTAAAATGCCAAAATCAAGGAAATCTAGGAAAAAAAACCCCGTGAAAAAAAACCCGGAATAAATACCCCCGGAATAAAAACTCACGGAAAGAAAACCCTCCGGAAAAAAAACCCTGGAATGAAAACCCCCTTTTTTAAATCTCCACAATAGGTAGGTATACATCTTAGGGCGATTGTACAAGGCAAGTATATACCTATAGTATAAGTTATTCTAAGTACAAAATCTGAAAATTCGAATGAATTTTTAGATTTTATACTTGAATTAGCTTATAAGTACCTGGTATATACTTGCATTGTGGAACCGGCCCTTCGTAAAATTTCTAAAAGTGCGAACTGTGTACTCCTGTACTGAATTAGCTTGCAAAAAGCGTTGTTCAGTGACTTATACCCGGTTTCACAAAGAGTGTTAGTTAATCAATGATTATATGGTATATGATTGGTCGATTTTTGATGTTTACCAAATGACATGGGCTCAAACCAACGTTATTCATCTGTTAAATATTAACAAACGATATCTTAATCACGTTTGCGAAAACATACTTTAAATTCATTTAAAATTACACCAACAACATTTAGGTCAATTAATCCCAAAAAGGAGGAAAGCAAAATATGTACTGCTGCAAAGTAGACTAAAAAATATCTGCGAAGAATACAGCGCCGGACAAAGAGATGTGGTATAAGTCATAATATTAGGTTTTATTAGGGTTAGTGGTATTTGTTAATAGAATATCTCAACCGAGTTCTGTTTGATATTCCTGTTTCAGTAAACCATATGCAACTGTAGCTCTCGCGCAATATTTCCTTTTTTTCCCTGTGGTTTTTCTTCCGATTTTTTACCAGGGGGTCTTTCTTTCCGTGGGTTTTTTCCGGGGTTTTTTTTTCCGGGGGGTTTTCTTTCCATGGGTTTTTATTCCGGGGGTTTTTATTCCGGGTTTTTTTTCCAAGGGCCTTTTTTCCGGTACCGCTTGTCCCTGAGGCTAAAAGTTGAAATTTGATTTGTTACAAAAAGTTGATATTGGATATGAGATTTAGGCGGTGCAAACTATACGGGGCGCGTAACAATGGAGTTCGCGGTACAACGAAAAGGGGAAAGAGATACATGTACCTCTTTGCTAAGAACCTTAAACTCCAAAACTGCTCATCATGGCTGTGTCTAGCGAGAAGAGCAAAGAAGGATACATCGGCTCTTAGTTTAACATGCAATGCCAGGATCTGGGTCAACGATGACAAGGTAAGATTAGCTAAACCGAGCACTGATTTTGGAAGTGATGATGGTTTCCAGTTTCAAAGCCCTTAATTGGGTATTTTATTAGTTGGGATATCGTCTTTTGACCTTTTGACTTTTTTATACGTAAGTATCATCGTTGCTTATACCGTCGTCTAATGTTAGTTTTTAGGTTCGGCCCTCCCTTGCAAAAAATTTAGTTCATCAACCTCTTCAAATTTCAGTTTTACTCTGGAACCAACCACGGATATGGTCGTTGGCCTTTCCAGTTTTACTGCCCTTTTGGGTTTTTAATTGTTTTCCATCTATTGTAAGTTTTATAGCTATAGTCTCTCCCCAATTATCTCTACCATCTTGTAGATCACCTGAAATGACCGTTGGTCGAAACATGTAGTGTATCACTTCGTTTTATTAAATTATATGGGAACGGTTTAGAGAACTTTTATTCAATATTAATAAATTATCCCATTTAGTGTTTGAACACAAAATGGACGTCACGATTCCAAATTATACCTTAATATTGAAAGTATTCAAATTTTAAATGTAGGTATACGTCTATTACATGCACAAAGTAATAAAACGTGATATTGGTGAGTAATATTGGAGATTTCAAGCTCTGAGTTAATTTAATACTTCTCAGCCGACTTTCTGTGTTAAAAGTCAACCAAACACAAAATACCCTCTCAGGGGAGCGAAATTCTGGTGCGAATTATCCGGGTGCGAATTGTCCGGGAGCGAAACGTCCGGGTGCGAAATGTCCGGGTGCGAATTATTCGGGTACGAATTGTCCTACAACCGTCTCGTCCTGACATTCCACTTGCCCTTTATGTGTACTCTCTTCCAACACTTCGTTGTGTTGCTTCGACTTCACCAATAGATATGTCTCGTTCAGACAATTCATTTTGCCCTTGAGAGTACTTTCCTCCGACAAAGCGTTTTCGAAATATTCACTCTTAAAGTTCTGACGTCACCAATGGATTTATTTCTGCCAGACGTCCCAATAGTCCTTCCACAATCCGTTCTGGAGATGTAAGGGAATATTTCCAATCACGATAAGGGGTCGAGGAGGAGGACTATGGTTGGTAGAATTAATTCCTTTCGTTGAGACTTTTCAGAGCCTTGAAGATCACTTAAACACAATATGCATTGTCGAGGAGCCTGGAAAGTTTGAAATGGTTTGTAAGTACCTACTTTGTTGATAACGTATATAGTGAACGTGTGCCTGTGCGTGTGTCGCAATCTTCTCTGGGGCTATTCATGGCAGATTGTAAATTCATCAAAATTATTTACTTTCTCATGTTATATCCCTACGCAAACTCTCTAGATAACAATCCTCACTAGGGTCGTCGGAACATGTTACTAACGTTGTTAAAGGTGAAACGGTATGGCGAAAATTAGCGCAATCGCTTTCTTTGTTGCAGTACTCTTGGTTTTGGAGGTAGAGGTAAATTATAAAATAATTTAATTTAATAATTATTATGCAAATTTAGACCCAGACCACCGACGATAGTATCGCAACACGTAATAAAAAGGTGGAGTCATTCATGAGCGAATGCATATGCGCCTCCGGTGCAGATCCAGAAGAGGTCTACTCTTGGTTCGCACGCAGAACCTTTTTTCCCTCCTCCTGTTTTAAATGTTTTCTGAAATGCATAGGCAGAAAAATGGGTTTTATGAAACCGGATGGTTCGTCCGATCTCGACGCCGTATCAGAACAGTTTGGTTCCATCATCAGTGGGGAGGAAATTGCCCTGTGCATCAAGGCTCACTCTGGTAATCTGGATCTTTGCGAGAAGGCATACCAAGTACCACTATGTATTTATCAAATCATCAATGCAAATGCCACAAATTAGCATAGTAGTTCTCCAAGGGCCGACCTTGACCTGACCTGGCAATTTATAATAGAAAAGATAAGGTCAACTCATTCCAGACTTTATTTTACTTAGTTAGTATCACTATCAAAACAAACCATATAAATATTTTGATCTTCCAACAACACTTTGCGTTGCTTCATATATGTACCTACTAAAAAAAAGTCATTATCTCGATTGTGTTTACGCCGAAACAGTTAGTTACACAATTTAGTTTAGCTGCTGGAATTGTTTTCAAATATGGGCCCCAAGGGATTAAAATTTTCTATTTGTTTTTCAACCTGGAAAACCCCCACTAACACGTAAACTTACTTCTCCACCTGGTCGACAATAAAAACCAAAATTTACTAATTCGTTTAATATATTAAATCAAAAAATTCTTTTATCTTCTCTTTTCCATGCATTTCAGAATCCGTGAGGTAAGCGGTCTCACTGTCTCAGCTTTCCTCCAGGCCAACATACTACCATAGTGTAAGAATTACACTATGATACTACTAATATATCAACGAGTCATTGTTGTACCTGCAACGCGGGCGGTCCTGGTTCGATTCCCGACCGATGCAGATTTTTTTAATTTTATTTATCATTTCTACATTTTGCTAGACAGGGCCGTAGGGCCTGGTCAACACATAAGTTCACAAATATGATGACGAACAAAGTGGTGTTAGGACCCGGATTGTAACGGTAGCTCTAAATTTATTTTTTTGAATTTGCTACGGATCTTTGGGATTTTTTTAAGATTCGAACAGTTTTAGTATTACATGTCAAAATTAGAGGGTTAAATAATAAGTTGTATGACTGGTGGAATTCCAGTGGTCCGTAAGTATTTGGTGGAATTGGCGGTCGTTCTTGTTATACGTCAATGAACTGCATAACGCAGCGACCAGAATACGCATCTGTCCTGGGATAGTATTAGAATCGGTAATTTTAATTAGAGCTACGTGATTAAAATTTCTAATTAACCGTATCGCTGGATTTGTAAAATTTGCAAAAAAATTCAGCGCAACTCTGATTGACTCTTAACAAAAAATGTTTTCCTCAGTTAAGTAATTAATAGTAATTAATTAAGCAAATGTTATTCAGGGTGATTCGCGACGAGTGTTGGTCTATAGTAAGATTTTGCTCTCATTCGAGTTTGGGATACCAGAGCAAGCAGTGTTTAGTCAAGAAGTAAACTTCTTTTCTGCGAGATTTTTTGCGGGTAGCTAATCCGGGGTAGTTTTTGAAGACATTCGGTCTGAGAGCGCAAAAAGGGCCGTTGTGTTGAAACTCGGCTGCGGTACTAAGGGTCTCTGGTTCGAATCCGGGTTAGGACATGGATATTTGTAAATGTATAGTAGGTTGGGTTGGTATAGAGCAGCGTTGACTGAAACCACTCACCCACAATAAAATAAAATAAAATAAAATGAAATGAAATGAAATGAAATGAAATGAAATGAAATGAAATGAAATGAAATGAAATGAAATGAAATGAAATGAAATGAAATGAAATGAAATGAAATGAAATAAAATGAAATGAAATAAAATGAAATGAAATGAAATGAAATGAAATGAAATGAAATGAAATTGAAATTGAAATGAAATGAAATGAAATGAAATGAAATGAAATGAAATGAAATGAAATGAAATGAAATGAAATGAAATGAAATGAAATGAAATGAAATGAAATGAAATGAAATAAAATGAAATAAAATAAAATAAATTAAAATAAAATAAAATTACAGCAACTTGGGGAGTAAAAAACTGCTACAGAATGTATTCATCTGTAAAATGGTTTTTGATTCTATGTTTCCTCAATATAAAGTTACAATGTTACAACTAACATTAATAGGAATTACTAAGACCTAAGGTTATTCTTAATCCAATCCATGTATGGTACTATTGGCGTAAACTTCGCAAAGCAGGACCCATTTTTCTGGTAAAACATGTGACTGACTCCTTCCAAATACCATTGGTACTTGGCGGATGCCATGATTGGCGCGCCATTATTAATTACGTGGCAACTCTCGCGTCCGCCTTCCACATTTTGATACCTAACGCACTTTGAATATTTGGATAACGCGGATCCTTCACCTAAACATTCCCTGTCGGAAGCTAGTGTCGATGGTATTTTGATCTTTAACTGAGAGTCATCCCATCCTGATGTAAAAAACTGAACTTCAACTTTTTCTGTTGGCGATGGCAGACATATGGGTCGAATATAATCTGAAATATTCTCTCCGTGTAAGGTTTCTTGAAAAAGTACGCAACCTACCAGAATAACTGACCGACTTTTCTAGCCGCAGCAGGCCAATGTCGTTAAGAGACGAAATTCCTGTATTGATGAACGGATGAGGGACGGCTTCCTCTATTTGAAAGTCTTCGTGCTGGTTACAGTCGTTCAATTCGCTCTTCCAGGTCTCACAGTCGGTCTTATTTTTCACATAAAACTCGCCTAGCCTCACCCAGGTGCTAAAATCTTTCCTTTTAGCAGGGATTCTGGCCGATTATTATACTCACCCAGTCTTCTCTGCACAGAAACCGGAGGTGAGAACGTATCTGTTTGTGATCAAGGTACCTAGGCACGTAACGACGTCCTCGCCTCCTTGGTCTTTTTTCATAATGGCGGAGAGCCAAGGAAACTCGATTATCGACGTTTTTCGTATGTCAAGCATGAGATCGTCAGAGTGTTGGAAGCCGCAGTAGCGCTTATCTGGTATGACTGCCCGTTTAGGCGGCGGTTCCGTGCAGCAGATCGCCGCCCCCGGTAAAGCGGGATCGGAAAACTTGCACAGAAACCCTTGCATGTAGTTCACGATCTCCTTGGAGGGATTCGCGAAGAGGCTTACGGCATGAGGACAATCTTCCAAAAGTTTACATTTTCCCTTATCGCCGTTTGGCGTTGTACAATCTTCAGTTATACGTATGTCAATCATATCTGATGGGAAGAAACAGTGCAAACAGATTTCCTGAAGGAGTCAATTGCGCTTACCAGAATAAGTTGCGGCGAAGAAAAATGCCGCGAGAACAAGAAACGACGAGGGCATTATCCCCATTTTGCGAACGTACTGAAGCAACCTCGACGATCTGCACTGATGAAGAACTCGTTTGACTGACGTCACGAACAGGAATGCAAAGTTAATCCTTAGGAAAAATGTGCAAGAGTGACTTGACTTGGAAATTTTAATGGTTTAATGACACTTAGAATTTCCACAAAAATAACACGGAGCGATTAAGAACGCGTCGACCTTTTCAGTTTATCTCTGACCTGCCCAACATGTTATACGAAGCCGTGATTGTTCTGTCGTTATTTAGTGGGACAATTGGTATGTTTTTAGTTTTAAGAGTTTAGAGACTAATTTGGGCAATTTAGGCCATAGGACTTTCTTCTATGATCTTGTATGGCAAGATGAATATCCTTTGTGGGGTGTTTCAAGAAGAGGTAGGCAATCCCCATTGGCACGTTATTCTTTTTGAAATAAAGAGTTTAACCAACCACAATATTTCTTTCTACAAGCTTATATTTACAAAATGGATACAAGACTGAAGCTTAATTTTTTATTGACAGTTTTTGACATACCTATACCACAGACAACATATACTATGTCTGTGCCTATACTAACTCGATAATTTACACATGTCTCCATTTTTCAATTTCATTTCAGGTTATCAATGCGTAACGCCCAACGAAGAGCGCGCCTTCTGCGTCTCTTTATTTACATGCCCCGTTTTGTTGTTATCCTTGGGCAGTCTGCAACCAGCAGCTCTCGATTTTGTTAAAAAGTCACTGTGCAAATCCGAACCCAAGGACGTGTTGGTTTGCTGCGGAAGCTTTGGAAACTTCACCGAAACCACCACCTCCAAGCCAACTACCACACCTTCCGTCCCCAGAAATCCCACCCCACAAATCTTTCACAATAGCACCACACCTACCATCCCCACAAAGACTACTCCAAAAAGTTTTCACAACACCACCACACCTACCACCCCCACAAAGACGACCCCAAAAAGTTTCCACAACAACACCCTTTTGGCCAGTCGCAAGTTCTGCGGATATCAGCACAACGACGATAGATTCTCGACTGACAACTCAACGGCACTAGACGAATTCCCTTGGCTGGCGCACATCGTGTTCCTTGACGAAGCGGACGAAGATCCCGATCAGTACCTGGACCGGTGCAACGGCGTTTTGATCAACAACCGATACGTGCTGACGACGGAATATTGCGGCACTTATGCGTAAGTATCCGCAAAAAGAAGATCGGTTTTTGAAACTCAGTCACAGGAAATCGATAAAGCTGGGACAGTATTACACTAACGCGACCGTGGCGTGCGCTGGCCAATCAGATTGCACGGAACCAGTTTTGGAAATTCCCGTAGTGGAGGAGATCCACAGATCGATGGTGTCGGATGGATGGCACGACTTCGCTCTCTTACGCCTGGCCAGCAAAGTCAGTTTCTCAGGTAAACTTCTCCAGCAAAAGTTGACATTCACTATCAATGATTCTAGATTACATTCGTCCCATTTGTCTTCCACTGGACGAATCAGAGGTCCAGGACAGACCCGAGTTGAAATTTTCAGGATGGGGTTCGACAGGTACATCACTCTATTTTTGGCTGGAAGTAATAATTTATTTGTAGATGCGGGTGGTGTGGGTAAAAAGCGGCTGGAGTATAAACCAACGGACATCTCCGAGTGTGAAAAGCTAGACGATAAGGGATTGACTAACGTTACTGAAGTAACACCCGTCTGCTTGATTCCGACGAATAAATATGGCGAACTCGCGTGCACCGGGGACGAATCAGGTCCTTTGCTGTACGCGGTCAAGAGGTCACAATGGTTTGTCGACTCACTAATCACCCGAGTTTATTCAAAGCCCACGGACATAAATTTATGTTCCAACGAGCTTCCTATTACTGGAATTAAAATTACTATGGATATCGTTGGATGGATTGTTAGTAATATGTTGCCATAAATGTATTAAATATACGCAAATTAGAGAGAACTATAGATTTCCGCTAATGGTTCGCATCTCGCAAATAAATATGACACGACTGTATTGTATAATATATGAATATATTAATCCTCCTGCGATAAATTACAGGTGATTGACTTAACTGCACTGTGGGTCGATGCGAATTCGAATAACACAAAAAAGCCTGACTGTCTTAGGATCGTTCGTTCGCGTTTCTCTAACACAAATAAATAAATTATTGTTCGCTCGCAACTAAATAATAACACAATGTAACAAAACCATCTCGAGAATCAAATATAGCACAATTCGAAACAAGTCACCCTGCCAAATATTACTATTCATAATTACTCGCTTCAAATAAATAGTAGGAGCATAACGTTAAGTATCACATTACAACAAAACAAAGGAACATGTCGTGGTAAAATATTCGTATAAAGTAATTAATTCTCAATGCCAAACGCAATATGTAATAATTTTGACCTAAGGTAAGTCACCCGCCACCAGATGAATCACCCTGTAAATAAATCACTTAATTCTGCACACGCGGATTGAAGATCACTTTTATTGCAAATTATGGCCCATATGGCATAATCACCTGTACAGTATAACAAACACGATTCATCTAACGGTACTCAAAAACAAAAGCATGGAGTACGCCATATTTAAATATCGCAGTTTATACAAAATCAGCATAATGTAAATAATATCAAATTGTGGCAAGAAATTCAATAATTAATATAGTTGGTACAAGAACTAATAAAATGGTTACTACCTGTAATTACACCACAACCAAAATAATCAAGAATAAAAACCGGGAACGCGTGATGCCGTCCGTCGACCCCGTCGCCATCTTCTTTTTTTTCGCCACGCTTTTTTCCCCCTAGCTTCGTTACGAAAAATCCCCTTTCGGCATCTACGCAAAACGGTCGACTGGTTTTATACAGAGCATATCATATTTTTGTTTCAGATATAAAGGTATGTTCCCTAACCATAAGGGTGGATTACCACAACGCATCGATACTTTCAAGCAGCGTCATAAGTTGAACACTCACTGAAGTATGAGTATATACCCTTGAAAGCACATGATTGATTAGCAAATTCGACTTATTACTGGATGTAAAAAGGGGCACTCTTCCTGTTCGGTCGGTGTACATGCTAAGAGCAAGTTCTGGAAGGTTCGTAACCAGTGCTCGCATTTCTTGGAGGCGGAACTAACAGATGAATCAATATCCAAACGATTAAATTTCAAAAAGCTTTCCATTATTTTATTTTGTTGAATAAATTGTTATACAGTGATATTCTTGTAGAAGTAGACATAGGGATTTTCTATAGGAATTTCCTATGTCTACTTTTACATGATAAAAAGTCTCCTGAAAAACGCCTAATTTTATGCAACCAAAGTAACTACCTACAACCAATGAGGATCTCTATTCTAATTTCGGTTCGTGTGCGATGTATTCAACTAAAGAAAATGTTGATATTTCCAATTGATATAGTGCCGATAACAGTTAAAGGAGCTTAAGAGATTTATTTTCTGTGAAGCTAAAGCAACAATATTCAAATTAATAATAATTATGACAGCCAGTTCTTTATTTTTTCGAGAAGTTATTTTGGTTGCATAAAATTAGGCGTCTTTCAGGAGACTTTTTTCAAGAAATTCCTATAGGAAATCCCTATGTCCACTTCTACATGAATATCACTGTGGATAAAACCTTTAAGTTTAAAATAAAATATTCAACCAAATTATTGCTAATGACAAAATAGGATATGACTTTATATATACCTACAGAGCTAATTATTAAAAAGTAGACAGGGATTTACGCATATTGTTACAACGATTGTTATTCCCTGTCATCTCTTCTGAAGGGCGACTAATTTTATGCATCCAAAATAACTTCTAAAAACAAATAAAGATCTGACTGTCATATAGAGCTGGGCAGAATACAGAAAAAAGTATTTGAATACTAAATAGTAAATACTTTACACAAATCAAAGGTATTTGAATACTAAATACTTTTACGTCCAGCACAAGCGAATACTAGATACAGATACATTGAAAAGTAATCAAATACTTAAAAAAATAAGCATTCAAATACTTTAGAATGTATTCGAATACTATAAAAAGTATTCGAATACTTTGAAAAGTATTTCATTATCTTACTTTGAAAAGTATTCGAATACAGTAAAAAGTACTCAAATACTTGTCACTCAAATATATTAAAAATTTAAAAATAAAATTTCTTATAGAATGTGGCCTGTAGAATCCATAATTTCAAACAGTTCCAAGATTGGGCTACTAGTTCAAAAGTTACAGCCCTTTGAATTTTTTTTTCGAAATTGGTTTCTAGTCTATAACTTTTGATTGAGAAGTCTAATCGAAAAAGTACGAATTGTTTTGGGTTCTACGCACCAAAATTAATAAGAAAAAGTGTTTTCCCGAGAAATTTTGGTGCAGTCGATTTTTGGTAAAAAAGGAAGGTAAATAACTGCCTTTTTTTGAGCCCCGAATAGAAAATTGTCTCAGACCGATCCGCGAAAAAAATTTTCTTATAGAATGTTGCCTGTAGAATCCATAATTTCAAACAGTTCCAAGATTGGGCTACTAGTTCAAAAGTTACAGCCCTTTGAATTTTTTTTCGAAATTTGTTTCTAGTCTATAACTTTTGATTGAGAAGTCTAATCGAAAAAGTACGAATTGTTTTGGATTCTACGCACAAAAATTAATAAGAAAAAGTGTTTTCCCGAGAAATTTTGGTGCAGTCGATTTTTGGTAAAAAAGGAAGGTTATACACTGCCTTTTTTGAGCCCCGAAAAAAAATTGTCTCAGATCGACCCGGAAAAAAATTTTCTTATAGAATGTGGCCTGTAGAATCCATAATTTCAAACAGTTCCAAGATTGGGATACTAGTTCAAAAGTTACAGCCCTTTGAATTTTCTTTCGAAATTGGTTTCTAGTCTATAACTTTTGATTGAGAAGTCCGATCGAAAAAGTACGAATTGTTTTGGATTCTATGCACCAAAATTAATAAGAAAAAGTGTTTTCCCGAGAAATTTTGGTGTAGTCGATTTTTGGTAAATAAGGAAGGTAAAACACTGCCTTTTTTTGAGGCCCGAAAAAAGAATTGTCTCAGATCAATCAATTAATCAACGTACATAAACGTTTATTTACAAACAATTACCATAAATGCCAAGACACTCAATATTAATTATAACCAACATATAAGAGAGCTTACAACACTAGTGGTATCTTATTAACCATGTCAAGATTAACAATTATTCTACACATGTTAATTGCATTAACGACTGTCTGTGTAATTGCAGCTATGTACTCTTCAATTTTATATAATTATATCACAATGGCACTAGATGCTGATGACTACATCTGCCTAATTAGAGGCGATATCGGATGCCTACTCAATTGCCTTCCGAAAGGAGGAAAGCCCGCCGGTTATTGTGATGGTAATGATGAATGTAAATGTGAAGCGAAACCAAAATCGACAGCGTTAAACAGTAGTTAAAGCTTCCATCAGATCATTGCCTGAAATTATTTTATCACTACAAACGATAATTGTGCTACCAGTCAGTGTTTCTAATAAATTGCAGGCTGCAATTTCCGAGTATGTGACTCCGCCCACTATGTATATCAAAATTGTTCGTGCCTCAAGAGGATAACCTTGCTCATTTCGTATGCTGAACGGGCCTAACGGCTCCAACTTGGTTTTAATCTCATTTAGCGGAGTATTACATAAAATCATACTGGCAATTTGTACGATCAGAGGTATGTAAGCACCACCAAACACGTAACTGCAACACGTCGGCGCCTTTAAACTAACTTTCGCCGGATCGACGGGGGCCTGTTTTAGCCTATTGATGTTAACGTAAAAGTCGTTTGTTAGAAATTTACTGACAATATTCGGTAGGTTAGCGGAAGCGGATGTCTCTTCGGTTAAAAACCCGGCCCTAAGTAGATTATTGTGCACGAATCCATAATAATATCCGAACTCGTGAAGAAACTTTTGCCAAAATGACTTCACCTCGCTGTCGGAGAGTTTTTGTGTGATTGCCATTAGGCAGAGGAGCCTCAACGCGGCATTCCTGTTGTTTTCGGTTACGAGCACCTCCTCCAGATAGGCCAAGTTGGAACTCTTTCCTTTGTTTTGGATTAGCAGTTGTTCTGTGTCCTGTTGCATCTCGAAACGGTGGCCTAAGTGGTTTATAATCGTCTGGGCCGCCTCCAAATGGTTGGCCAGGTACTTCATTTTGGACGCGGTCGCCTGCAGTTGTGTGGATACGTATTTTTTTATCTCGTCCAGAGCCATCCCCCGCGAGTTTTCTCCTTCTTTTCGCAAGTCTCGAGTCAAAGTGCGTAGGATCGAGGTCACCTCGGGGAAGTATCGATTTTTTATGTCGCGGTAAATTGAGTCGTTCGTACTGTCGAGAATAATTTGTATAGGCTCCTTTTTTGGAATGCGGTTAAATTTCTGGTCGTGCTCCGGAGTGCCTGTTGATTTATGCTCGCACACCCCGCAGTTGATACCTGTAATGGTAAAATACTACCCCTTAATCAGTTAATTACACCTACCGTACACCTCGTTTAGCAAAGCCGTATACGTTGAGGGAGTCAAAAGTGCACTGACGTAGTCTACGTTACGATCTAACATTATCACAGCACCGCAATCTGCCTCCACCTTGTCAGTGTTAGGTAAATTCTCGTACAGAGTATCCAACTGCTTCAGTACGGAGATTGAATGAGCACCCAAAGCGAAGTGGAACCTCGGCTTTCCTATAACGAAATAAAGGTGCCACAAACTTTTAGCGTAAATCGGTAGCAGCGACAAATCATGCTGCACAAACAACCTTCGATACAAGTTAGGTATTTCCAAACTCAAAATGCCTCGATCTAGATGAAGAGGCTGCCATTGCAACGAGTAAAGCTTCACAACCCCAAATAACCCCATTTCTTCCAGCATGTTTTCGAAGACATACAGAAATCGAGGTATTATTACAATGTGGTACATGTCGGCCACCGTTGCATCGTTTTTTAATCGCAAACGAATTTGTTGCAGAAGCTTCTTTAGAGTGCTCAAACTCGTGTAAATGAAGTAAAATTGCGGATTGGAACTGTTTGGAATGTTGTCCTCCAATTTGAAGATTTTCTCGACGTAATTGGCCCTAAAAACGGTAAGTGAGTTCGATATGGCTCCAATTTGGCACCGATACTTTAGCCAACGAATTCCGCATATCCTCTCTAAGGGTTTGATGATTTTCGGATCCAGTACAAGATCTTTAAGACCGGAGCAAGAATTCAAGATCTTGGATATTTGTGCTTTTGATATTTCTGAAAGTGAAGACAGCTTTTTGTAAATCATTTTGAAATCTAAAAATGAAGTTTGAGGTTATAAAACAGTCACCAAGTGACCAACTATTTAGACTATTTGAACTACTGCTGTACATTAAGGTTACGAATCGGAGATACTGGGTGTACCAAAAGTTAAAAGCCGGACTGTTAAAGCTGCCACCATATTTTATTGGAAATGGGGTGATGATTGGTAATTCAAACATGTTTTTTACTATATTATGCTTTAATATTGTTTTTAACATATTGAAAAATTTGATGAACGCCTTCACGTCCAGCCAAACCTTCAATGAATACAAAATCAACAGCAACATCCGATGAATCTTTTTTAACAATAACTGAACATTTCAAGAAGCACTCTTCATAAATGTCCCCTGAATCCATCTTTATTCTCTTAATATTATAATAACCCTCCTCCTCGAGCTCACGTTTGGACGGACCTTTAGGCGAGCTAACATTCATATTTGCAATCAGTTCGGACGTGGACTTGATTTCTTCACTGGTGCTAGCTGGGCAATTGTTGTTGTCGCCTAACAAGGTCTTCAGTCGTTCTTCCTCGCGCCTTTTACGTCGTTGGTGGGACCAGGTGTTAGAGGAGGCGGTGATGTGATAATGCACCATTGTCTTCTGTTGTTTCACTACCTCAACATGACATTGAAGCTTCTCAAAGATATCGGTGAGCATTTTTGCCACTTCCGGGACATGTTGTGATACAAATTTGTGGTGTAATGGTACTTTGGATTTAAGTTTTTTCGCACATGCCACCGTTGCCTCAGGTAATGTTCGTAAATCAATATCGTGAAACGTCCACGCCAAACCCCACCTAGTCGTCTTACCCTGGTAGAAGTCCGTCTGCTTGAAGCTGATCACGTCGACTTCTCTAAGCAACTTTTTTAACTGCGGTAAATTGTATTTGTGTCCCACCATTGTAGAGTAGATCCTAAAATGTGAGCACTGATCGATGCGTCCTCAAAAGACTTACTTTACCTGATGGATTTACCGAGCTCCTTGCTTTCTTTGATCATTTTCTGAATAAAATTGACTTCCCCACCATCTGCAATAACCTCATTTGTGCTGGCGCAAAAAGCGTTACGGGGTCGCGGTCTATCAATTCTTCGTGCCTTATGTTGAGGATTCAGTTCGGGTGCCGAAGCAAAGAAAGGGGGATTACACATGCAAAAATCAAATTCACCTTCAATCGCTTCTTTTAAAATGACCCCATCTGTAACCTTCTTTACTGCAAATGCTAATTTAATTTGACAAAAGTGATTGAATTTTGTTACGTTTTATTAAGCTCCCAAGAGAATTACGGTCCACATTACGTTGGGCCCACTCCAAACTTTCAGCGTCAACGTCAGTTCCGATCATATGCCACCCCTTACTCTTGGCGCCAAGTAGTGGATAAATGCATGAAGCACCCGTACCAATATCAACACCCTTAATATCATCCGAGGTTGGCGAAATGTTAAGTAAGTCTTCCAACCACAAAATGTAATTCAAACGCAATGGGACTGTCGGAATCATGCGAGTTAGCGGTATGTCGACATCTAACCCGAAATCCTTCTTCATTAAGGTACAAGTAAGGGCCCGCAAAGTTTTAGCATCCTTAAAGTCGATGCTTACTTTACCGGTTACATCCTGCAAATACGAGTGAAGAAATAGAATTATCAAACGAGAACTACCTGTATAATGAAGGAACGAAACTCGGGGTAATCAACTGCTAATTGTTTGAAATTAGGTGGTTTCTTGTAGATATTACGAGGATGCATATATTTGTTCATCGCCATGATGTTAGTTAAACTGAATAAAAGCCTCTTTATCTCACTTTGTCAGGACTTATACAAAAAATTATCAACGTCCTAGAACGATTCAAAAAAAAAGTTAGGTTATTTGAAATAGCATTAGTTACATTAGAACTACTCGTATACTACCTTCGAACTACCAAAGCTAATAAGTATTATATACAGGTCGATTCAACAAGAATTTTGAATTTTTTCGTTTGAAAATTTAAAAACTAGCATCTTGTAGAGGAAAAAAGTGACCATAATAATGTGTCATTTATTTTGAAATATCTTTTTTAATAACTTCGATAAAAAATAAAAATAATTTTGTTTTTTTCCAGATATCTCTGGAAGTAGTCGGAATTTTTCCAGTTTCAAAACGGCATTTGCGACGCCTATCAGCTGTTTGCATTCGGGTGCTACTACACATGTGCGGTGTTCTACATACGGTGCAACATATATCTGTCTTTGTTAGATATGCTGGCATCTTCGACCATTTAAACCTGGACTGCTAGCATCGTATTTTAATATTAAACTTGAAGCCAACATCTGCAACGCCATCACTGGGTATGAATAAAATAAGAACTAAATCTGAGGCGCTAAATATGAAATTTGCATGGATTCACAGAAAATATTTATACATTAACTGTTTAACTTTATACCTGACGAATTAATTTATATAATAAATAAATTTGAAGTAGATATAATTTTTGGATAGTGATAACAATAGATCGAGGAATAAATTTTTATTTAACAAATGTGCATGTTTATTGCAGCATCTAACTAATCTCCAGGATAACGTGTAGTACATGACGGCGAAGGTGAAAATTGTTAATTTGGTGGCAAAGTTTTGTGTAAAATTACAAACAAAAACATTTTTCATTTATTACATTTAATTAAAACAAAAAATAAAACAGCTAAAAAAGCAATAGTAGAGGTGTAGTCTACACCTGAACAAATACTGACCCTGGCACATTGTGTAGAAAAAACATTTACACAAACTATTTATTAATATTACTGGTAATAAATATAATAAAATATTCACAACTGTAATAAAGCATTTATAAAAATTTACAATTTTTTTTAAATGCGATATTCTGTAGGTTTTCAATCTATCTTTGTTGTGTCCAGCCTCTCAGAGTTCTGCAAACAAAGACATGAGATGGGCATTAAATTGCAAACAACGTACATCTTGCAGGTTTAGATTCTTCGCGAAGCTAATTCTTTGGCTCATTAATCTGTAACGTAAAATCACCTTCTCCCTCAATTTATTTGGTATAACCATCACAGTTGTCGTTGTATTCCCGATGAAGAATACGAGGAACATAAAGCTGAGTACTGGTACCTGAAATGCAAGCGTGGAGGAATGTTAAAGGGATGGTTTAACTTACATGCCACGTTGCCGTAGGTAGAAAGCTTAACTTGTAAAGCACATATGCGTTGTAAAGTTGGAAAAGGTAACCGATAAATAAAAATGGCAATAAGAAACTGAGCCCCCTCCACATCCACGAGTGAAAGCCTTCAATTGTAATGTCCATATTGTGACGTTCGCCTAGTGCTTTTAATCGGTACAATTGGCCTCTCTGGTAGCGGAATTGAAGATACTGCACGACACCTAAAGATCCACCGTCGGTATTCAAAATTTAACAAAAAGCCGATCTTACTGATATACGCGTTAAACCACATAAACTGATCGCGGAACAAATTCCACGCCTCAGTATCGGGCCAAATTAGCAGGATACCAGCCGAAACCGTCGAAAAAAAGTGATGAAAACGCCACCAGCCTTTAATTCGTGAGCCGTTCACTTTCAGAATGCTTTCCCGGATCGTGAGCGTGCAATAATACCAAACCAACAGAAATATGTAGCTTAATTCGAGCGGCCGAAATCGTATCACTTGATTTAATAGGGCGAAAACGAATCCGATAACGCTCAAGACTAGCTTGAATTTTTCATATTCGTCCTTGTACTTAAACCTAAACGCCGACATGATTATATGCCAAGATACCAAAGAGCTTACTTTTCCTCCTTGTGCAAGATCGAAACGTTAACGTTGCCCAAGATGATTTTTAAATAAATGCCATTTTGTTTGGGCAAGGTTTGTTCGATCTCGAAGCATTGCGCAGTGCGCTTAAGAATGTTAGTTTCCAATTCTTCGATCTGGGTCTTGTCCTCTTTGCCCTGCTTTTTTAATCTGTAACGTTTACCTTAAGGGCAATGCTACGATTAAGTTCAAACCTGTCGTACTTGTGCAAGTTCTTCGAGAGAATTCCCATACGATATCTTTGGTGCGCGATGTTCTTTTGGCATTTCTTTTGATATTCGTCGAGCTCGAGCAACTTTTGCTGGTAGATTCGGTTAGTGGCCTACGGATCGGGGTGTAAAAGATTGAAATTTTTTGCGGAGGAAGATTCTAACCTCTAATTCTTTGTAATCGCCTGCTAATTCCTCCCATTCGTCAAAGACGTTTTCGCTCATTCTTCGGAATTGTGCTACACGTTGCGGATTCTTGCTAGATAGTTACTATTTTATTTTAATTAATAAGTAGTTAAGCTTAAGGCTATCATTCTCGCGATAAGGATAAGAATCGGTGTTCCACCACTGACCTTGACCCTTGGGAGTGTAGGTGAAGTGAAGTGCAACTGCGAGAAGTAATTGCAATGTAATCAATCAATTATCTACACTTGCAATGTGGGGATCACGGATCACAGCAAATTTGACACGAGAAGCGCTGTATTTTTAATTAATCTTCAAATTTGCCCTCCACTTGCCAGTGGCGTGACATGCGTCTTTCAAGCTAGGCGTCATGCACGCATCACATAATATCATGAGGTATAATAAAAAGGTGTAGTGTTATAAATAGACGTGACTGTACAAATTTGATGGTTTATTATTGATTAAAAAAACGTGTCCTCATAAGTACGTTATAGATGCTAAATATGTACGGAAATGATAGCAAATCACCCCTTAAAATCGAACCAAAACATGAAGAAGAAATCCATTCCGATGTACAAGAAAACATTTTTATAAGCAACGAAGCATTGGTTAAAATACAGAACGAAATTGCTGCACAGTGCTCCAAATCGCTCGATGAAGAAGTACAACAACAAACTGATTGTGCGTGGGGTATTAAAACTGAAATTACGAACGATTTTGAATGTGACTTTGGTCAACACACAACAAACAGTAAGCTGCAAGTTAAAGAACAACTTTTAAAGCACAATGTTTTGGAAGGTTTTAACTGTGCTCATTGTGATTACGCAACAAAGAATAAACGATATCTTAAGGGGCACCTTTTAACTCACAAACGTGATGCGTTACAATGTGCTAATTGTGACTACAAGACACATAAGAAACACCACTTAAAACGACACATTTTAAAACATCGAGATTCCAAAGATTTTAAATGTTCTAATTGTGATTACGAGACAAATAACAAATACTACTTTAAACAACACCTTTTAAATCATACCGATTCCAAAGACTTTAAGTGTAGTTATTGTTATTACGAAACAAATAACAAATACCATTTTAAACACCACCTTTTAAATCATACCGATACTAAAGATTTAAAATGTGTTAATTGTGATTACGAGACAAATAACAAACGCTACTTTAAACGACACCTTTTAAAACATATTGACTCTAAAGTTTTTAAATGTGTTAATTGTGATTACCAAACAAATGATAAATACTGTTTTAAACAACACCTTTCATATCATACCGAGTCCAAAGAGTTTAAATGTGCTCATTGTAATTATGGAACAAATAATAAACAGTGTCTTACACGACACCTTTTAAACCATATTGATTGTAAAGAATTTAGATGTGCTCATTGTGGTTACGAAACAAATAACAAATACCACTTTAAAAATCACCTTTTAAAACATACAGATTCTAAAGTTTTTAAATGTGCTCATTGTGATTATGGAACGAATGATAAACAATGTCATAAACGACACCTTTTAAAACATATCCATTCTAAAAATTTTACATGTGCTCAATGTGATTATGGAACAAGTAATGAGCAATATCTTAAACGACACCTTTTAAAGCATAACAATTCTAAAGATTTTAAATGTGCTAATTGTGGCTATAAGACAAATAAGAAATGCTATTTAAAACGACACATATTAAAACATTTCGATTCTAAAGATTTTAAATGCGCTAATTGTAATTACCAAACAAATGATAAATACTGCTTTAAACGACACCTTTTATATCATACTAATTCTAAAGATTTTAAATGTGCTAATTGTAATTACCGAACAAATAATGAACAATATCTTAAACGACACATTTTGAAACATATCGATACTAAACAATTTAAATGTGCTAATTGTGATTACCAGACAAATGATAAGTACTACTTTAAACGGCACCTTTCATATCATAATAATTCTAAAGATTTTAAATGTGCTAATTGTAATTATGAAACAACAAATGAAGAATATCTTAAACGACACGTTATAAAACATATAGAGTCTAAAGACTTTAAATGTACTAATTGTGATTACGAGACAAACAACAAATACTACCTTAAACGGCATCTTCTAAAACATACCAATTGTAAAGATTTTAAATGTGGTAATTGTGATTACAAGACAAATAACCAATACCACTTTAAACAACATCGTTTAACACATTCTAATTCTAAAGATTTAAAATGTGCTCATTGTGAGTATGCAACAAATAATAAACGATACCTTAAAGGACACATTTTAACACACGAACTATCCATCAGTAACGCAGACTTGCAAAAATGTGCTAATTGTAATTACGAGACAAATAACAAACGCTACTTTAAACGACACCTTTTAAAACACAAAGTTTCTAAAGATTTTAAATGTCCCCATTGCGATTACGAGACACATAACAAATTCTGTTTTAAACAACACCTTTTAAGACACACAAACCGTCTTTACACAGAAATTTCTGGTTAACTTAAATATTTCGTGTAGTGTGTCGTGAGAGGTGGGTCTTCTAACTTACGTTAAAAAATCATTTAAAATTTGTTTGTATTGTAAAATATGCACATGAGATCTAATATAACATTAAACGTAAATGGCACTTTCACATGTACTTTTGATGAGTCTTAAATTAATGCCACACCATATTTTGATGTTTCCTATGCACATGCAATTTATTATTTTACGAGTTGCTTTATTTCAATTGATCGTACATCTATTTTAATGTGTTTTTGTATTATATATATTTTTATGAATTGTTTAACTGTATTTGATCCGTATTGTACAATTTGAGCTATTTTATATGTGTATTTTCTCTTGCATTTTGTTGTTGTAGTTGATTTATTTCATGTATTTGTGTGGCCTATGCCGGGTTTTGTCCCGTAGAAAAATGCGTGTAAATTACAGTAACTGATTCAGTACTAATCTACGAGATAACGATTTTTTGACCAAAAGTTAGTTCATCGATAGTTTCATTTAAGTGGCTACGTTCATTCGCAAAATTATCGAACTTGGAGTGCGGAAAACCCTCACGTCTATCGGGAAGCTCCCGATCCTTTTTGTAGCAATGTAATACAAAATAAATCGTGTTTATTGTGTATGTGAGCTTTCATTTGATTAAATTTCCCCTTCTCTACAATTTAAAAACTATTGAAATATTTATTCATTGATTGAAATTGACGCATTTGTTTGGTTTTTAGGTTATGTTTAGTATTGGTGCCTTTCTTTCATAGTCTAAGATTGGTGCAATGAATAAAGAATACCAGGAAGGAGAATATCAACAATATACGTGCGACCGCGATGGCTTTTGCAAATGGCGGACAGTAGTTTCCTGTTCCAGTGGCGTACCTACCTTACATTTGTAGAAGGATACAATTATAAAGAATTTTACACGAAAACAATCTAAACCCCCATGTGTCTACTCCGCCTATGACTTTTGTTTAACTAACCTCAAACAACATTCCGATAAAAAATTTGTAAATTTACATGTACTATATAAAAATAATATTGGTATCAATACTTGCACATGAAATGTAGTTCCAAAACTTTTATTTTTTTTCCGTTTTGGAGCAAGCACAACAACTAACCATTATTTTATGTCACTGCAAAAACCACAACAAAAATGAGTCATAAGTGGCTTTTGCAAATGGTCGACTTCCGTCGCACTCTCTCTTGTATACAACCTGTGTAATGCTCCTTCCTGGTATTCTTTATTCATTGTATTGGTGCAATGCATGTGTAGGATGACCGTCGATTTTAAATAAATTCACTACTTATTTTCACAAGGTCTATTTTTCGTCCTTTCCATACATTGCTTACTTCACACTCTAAATGTACAGGGTGTTCTATAATCACCCACACATGCATTACTAAAGTCATAGGAGCGCATCGGTCACTGATTCTTGATCGCATTGTATACAATGATACCGAAGTTGTATAAGTGAATGCGACCCATTAAGTGTTCTTTCCGGTAACCACGGGATTGTCAAATGTCAAATATTGCAATATGTCATAAACACAACACTTGAAAAGCAATTTTAAGGACTTTTAAATTAATATTTTAACTTCAATGTATACTAATTAACTCACTAGCATCTTATTTACAAACTGAAAAATATTCAAAATGTCACGACATCGTAATATACGTTCCATAAACGTTAACGAAGGTAGCACTTCCATAGTGTAGTCGAGACTGTTATCAAAGTCTGTATTTTTAGAGTACGAGGGATACGATGATGTTTATGGGCATTCAGTGGAAGACGACTATTGCGTGTCGCCAAGCGAGGCAGCTTTCGTGTACGATCGAGAAGGTTCCAAAAGCAAGCAGAAGATCAGCGCGTTCTTTCAGTCTGTTACCGAAGAGAACGAAGAGCCGGAATCTAGAGTAAGCCATTTCACATGCGGAAGGTTATCACTGAACGTTGTCTTTTGTAGGAAGCGAATTTGTCGGAGATCGACAAGGCTCGTCTAGAGTCCTGCATTGAACAAATCAATCAAGTCTTAGGCTGCGGAATATCTCGCCAGGAGCTGATCAACATAATCTTGTTGTACAATTTTAACGTCGAGAAGGCAATTAATTTCATTTTGGGTTGTCCGCAGTATAAGCACGTCACCGAGAAAAAAGGTGAGCATTTCAGGCTTCGTCGACGTGGTTTTCAATGTAATTTCTTTGTTTCATGTTATCGTTTCGTGTTCATTTGCGAATTATGTAAGGTAAGGTGATGCTTTATTAAAGAAATCATTCACGATTCCCAAATTGAACGCCAAAATCCCCATGAATTTTAAACGAGAACCCTTAAAGGCAGACTCCTCGAGTTTCTCCTCGTTCAATGAGTTGTCGCGAAGTCATCTACTGAGCGTGTCTCCGAATACCGTTAAATTTATTAAACCTCGATTGTGTAACGATGTCGGCAAGCTTGCAGGCGATTTGCGTAAGGTTAACGTGTCCGGTAACCGGTCGGAGCCGGACACGGATAACGTTCTCGATAGCTGCCACGTCGATTTGACAAAAGCCTTACGCGTTGTCACTAGCGCGCCGCAGCTTCGCGCCAGTGAGCAGGCCGAAAGCGAGACCTTCACACCCGATTTCGTCGATTGCGAAATCGTGATCGCGCCGCCGCAGGCAAAAACGGCCGAGGTCTTCGGCACGAGGAAGTTATTGAAGAAAATTGGGCGCAAGAAGGTTTCGGCGTTCGGTAAAGCGTTGTGCTTGCGTTATAGTAGACCTGTGCCGTTTGTTTCGCATATAAGTGACCGTGTCTATAGCGGTATACCGCAGTTTTTATTCAACTGCCCCTCGCCCGATGATATTAGAATTAGCTCGTTGCATAATCGTTTAAAACTACAGAAGTGATTTTTGTAATTAGTTTATCGGTGATGTGACATACTCCTCATGGTACAAATTTGTGTTCCAGACCTGTTTACAATCACTCAATTTTAGAATTTTTATTAATTATACAAATTTTTAACTAATTTTAGGCTGTTGGGTACTTGGTAAGTATTGCACAATATTGTGCTTTTTGTCATCATAGATATATATAATAGGGAGGAGTTTGTCAGGGCATTTAGTTTATTTTCAAGTGTGTGAGATTATGGTTAGTGTGTCTCTCGACTCAAGTTCAGGTTTGTATTTCTTTTTGTTATTAGAAATAAAATATGGAAGTCAATTAGTAGGTAACTCGTAATAAAAAATTTGTTTACTTTTATTTAAATGTGTGAACATATAAAGTCCACCACTTTTGGAAGTTGTATCATTTTCTCAATGCTTTGCCGGGGTTGAGATGAATTTATTACATTTCATTTGTAGTCCAGGGAATAGAGGGTTTTAACTTGCAAAATGAGAAGTAGTTCCGATTTCTTTTGCACGTCATAGACAGTCATCTGGTGGTTAAGAATCTAAGTTTTCGACCTCCCACCCCTTGTGCTTCCCCCGTACCACCCCCAAAACCCTTGAAATTTGGTTGGTTTCTTAGTTTTTCAATCATATCTTTTTAATGGTTCACTTTAGAAAAAAATATTGTTATCAGAAATTGTAGACCATAAAATTGATATACACTACTTTTTTGTGAAATATTTATTAAAAAAGATACGGAGCTTGAGAGTTGGTTATATTTTTAAGAATTTTGAAGTTTCTATGTATATGTTTTAACCAAATTTTATACTTTATTTATGAGAAAATATCTTGAATTTATAGTAGTATAAATCACCCTACCCTGCACCCTTACCAAATGCAAATGGGATGCATAATAATAATAATGAAACTTGCAGTCCTTGCTAGTGATGATATTTGAATCAATGTGAGATTGTTGCGCTTTCTAATATACGTTTGCAATTAAAAAATTGTCTCACTTCAGTACAATTTCATCCCCCCCGCGGTAGGAAAATTTAAATAAACGCTCTTGTGGCGATTGATAAGTTAGGCAGAGAGTACAACGCTTATTACATATACTTATAATTATACAGTGTGTCCCAAATCGGGTGGGATTGCATGGGTAACTTTCTTATTATTAAAGATAGAGAATTGGTTAAATGGGCAATGTTTTGCAATTTTGATGCTTATTTAAAATTTCCTTATGGAAATTCAAAATGGTCGCATAGGCTCATATTTAAAATTTGTCCTTTTTAGGGAAATTACCAATTTGTAGGTATGATGGATCATAAGTCAATAAGTGATGTTATAAAAATCAAATTTTTCTAGACCTAATGCTTATACAAAATTTTGGAGGGAGTTGTAATGCCCAAACCCCCCCTCTCATGAGTGCGTCCCTGATTTTTTTAAACATCTGATGTAATTATTTTCATTGTTTTGTTGCCTCGAAAAGATTTTGTTTTGTTTTTTTTAATTCATCACAGCCTACTTAATTAAAATATAAAAACCGTTGATATAACTGGTATCTTATTTTCAATCTTATGTTATGATGGCTCGTTGAAAAGAGAATTAAAAAATCTATCAAGTAATCTAAAAATCCCATATGGCGCCTATTTAACTTTAGGAAGTTGGTAAATGTTCCTCAAAAGTAGCCATCTTGAATTTTTTTTTGACATCAATTCTAAATTAAACGTATCAAAGACAGTCACTTTTATATAAAACTTTTTTTTATATCTCTTATACTTTCGATGATATAAGACATTCAAGGAAATGACCAATTTTAGTTTTTTTGAATTTACATCGAACCTATGTGACATTTTAAATTTCCATAAGGAAATTTTAAATAAGCATCTAAAACTGCAAAACATTGCCCATTTAACCAATTCTCTATCCTTAATAATAACAAAGTTACCCATGCCATCCCACCCGATCTGGGACACACTGTATATAATCCTCTTTAAATATATATTCCAACCGCTGTGTGGAGAGGAGGGGGGGTAGGATGAAGCTGAACTGAAGTGAGATCATTCTTTTGTTTCAAACGTATATTAGGAAAGCGCTACAATCTCACAGTGATTTAAATATCCCCACTAGCAAGGGTTGAAAGTTGAATTATTATGCATCACCTTTGGTAAGGGAGCAGGGTAGGGACATTTTTACCACGATAAGTTCAAGGTATTTTCTCATGAAACTCATAATTATAGAGATAAAGTATGAAATTTGGTTAAATCATCTACATACAAATTTTAGAATTCTTAAAAATATAAGCAACTCTGAAGCTCTATATCCTGTTTAATAAACATTTCACAAAGAAGTAGTGTATATCAAAGTTGTGTAGAATTTTATAATCTACAGTAGTTAAACAAGGTTCTGGCACAATGTAAATCTCCATAAGCGCAATGCTAAAGTATGGGTTCATTTCAGTGACAAAAACTCACTTTTTGGATCGGTCTTGATTGCGGTGTTTTTTGTGGGGTTGTAGATGTGTGTTTAGGGGTTGCAGATGTGTTTAGGGGTTAGTAGATGTATGGGGGGTGGTTGTTGATTAGGGTAGTAAGAAAAATAAATTTTGAGATGTCTTAGTAAGACGAGACGGGTCTGCGGTGTTTTTTTTTGTGGGGTTGTAGATTGTGTTTGGGGGTGGTTGCAGATGTGTTTATTGGGTAGTAGATATGAGGGCGCGAGTGTATAACCTTGCGGTTTTCCTGTTATTCAGCATTCGACATTATTTTAAATTTAGTCGTTTGCGGTTGCGGTTTCCTGTTATTCTTTGAGGTGTCCTGTTATTTAGTAAATTCATTTCTTGTTATTTCGATAGAGAGCGACCTTGCGGTTTTCCTGTTATTCAGCAGTCGAACGACGACGACGACGACGATTCTGCAATATATAGAGAAATTGTTTATAGGAATGTTATAACAATTTATTAAATAAAATTGTGTATAAGTATTCGTACACATTTATTAATTACAATACATAAAACATTAAGCGTCTTAAACAAATGTTAGAGAATGATGCTGAAGTATTTACAGTATGAGACATAAAACATTAAGCCTAGTATAGTCCACTGTAAAGTAGATAGTTATCAAATTCTAACAGATCGATTTTGAGTGGATCTTTATTAATATGACAATAAGAGCTATAATGAGGTAAATCACTTAGTTCCAACTCAGGTTGTAGAATGATATTAAGTGTATCATATTCAATGTTCATAATAAATTCTTGAACTCTGCGAATATAGTCAATTTCACGTTCTTTATCGTACTTTTTACAGCCCGCAGCAGCAGGAGCAGCTTCATTGCCTTCTTCTTCTTCTTCAGTGTCACTATTTACATTGTTAAACAGCGATGAAGATGATGCGGACGTCAGGGATGACAACGAATACCATGATGCTGTAGGCTTGAGTTTTGTTGACTGTGGTGGTGGTGGTGGTGGCATTATCCATGGATGGTTACATATTGATGTGGGACGAATTCTTTCAAAATATTCGCGAGGCTTTATGTGTCTAGACCTAACAAAATCGCAAACTTCAACTAGAAGCGATGAATTATTGAACACACGCGCTAGTTTAACATAATTTTTACTACCCGTTCTAACCACAATCTTTGTAAATATTCTAATAAAATGTGCATGATAATATGACCGTATATGTTTGATTTTTCAAAAGATTGCAATTTAAACTTGTTTAAAAGTGTAATTCCACAAATTTGTTTTAAGCTCCTAGGTTGATTTAAAAAAATGAATTTCGTATAACCTGTACGTTCTTTTACAAATTCAAAATCTGTAGTATATGGCAGTAGCACAATTTCCTCTTCTTGATTTATTTCGATTGTTTGTCTACTATGACCATCAATTGCAGATAGAGTTAATAATACTTCAGCATCATTCTCTGACATTTTTATAAACACTTCAACACACCCCACACACACACACGCAAATATAGAAGTCGTTAGAAGAGTTAATTATATACTCTAACCATTGAATTTATAGATAGTTATAAATTCAATGCTCTAACGCTTATCAATTTTTATGTCGCCGCGGTTTTCTGTTGACGCAAACGGATATCTCGGTTTTCTGTTGACGTCAGCGCGCGGTTTCATGTTGACGTGCGAGGATATTGTGGCTTCCTGTTGACATGAGAAATTCGACATTCATCAAGGAGGGGTGCTGAGTATATAAAATGTGAAAATATGGTCAGGTTATTAGTTTTGAAGATCTACTTTGATTGTAATCAGTCGTGTAAATTACAAAAAATAAATAATATAGATTTCAACAAAATTTTGAAGAACATTAATTCTGCCGGCATGCCCCAAGAAAGGAAAGTTTTGAAAATTGAGGAAATGGAAATTGGGAAACTATATAAAATTAAAAAACTCAAATCAATAATGAACCATTTTGGACGAGGTATTGTCTGCGAGCTTGAGGAGGAGGATGGTAATGTTTCCATATTTCTACCTCAACGAATGGTGAGGGAAATCGACGATGATGCCCTTACAATTTTGAATGGTAAAGATAAAAGGATTGGGATTGTTGTGCATGGTTTGCATAACGAACGACTGGTTTCCATGCAATTTCTAATAACTATATATATAACATCAGTTCATGTCAACAATCTCGACTGCTGAATAACAGGAAAACCGCAAGGTCGCTCTCTATCGAAATAATAAGAAATGAATTTACTAAATAACAGGACACCTCAAAGAATAACAGGAAACCGCAAACGACTAAATTTAAAATAATGTCGAATGCTGAATAACAGGAAAACCGCAAGGTTATACACTCGCGCCCTCATTTCTAGTACCCACTAAACACATCTGCAACCACCCCCAAACACAATCTACAACCCCACAAAAAAAAAACACCGCAGACCCGTCTCGTCTTACTAAGACATCTCAAAATTTATTTTTCTTACTACCCTCATCAACAACCACCCCCCATACATCTACTAACCCCTAAACACATCTGCAACCCCTAAACACACATCTACAACCCCACAAAAAACACCGCAATCAAGACCGATCCAAAAAGTGAGTTTTTGTCACTGAAATGAACCCATACTTTAGCATTGCGCTTATGGAGATTTACATTGTGCCAGAACTCTCCTTGTTTAACTACTATCTACAATTTCTGATAACAATATTTTCTTGTAAAGTGAAGTTATACAAAGATATGATTGAAAAACTAAAAAACCAACCAAATTTCTTTGGTTTTAAGGGTGGTACGGGGGAAGCACAAGGGGTGGAAGGTCGAAAACTTGGATTCTTAACCCCCAGATATTCTTCCATGACATGCAAAAAAAATTGGAACTACTTCTCGTTGTGCAGGACATGGTCCATTTTCAGTCTCTATTTCCCGGACTAGTGTAAGTTCAAGACTTTTCGGAAGCGGTGTAGTTAGCACATCGTTATAGAAAATGGTGAAATTTCGTAGTTCTATTTGCATGCATAATAGATTTACAGTTGTAGAGGTTTTGAAAAAAGTGACACAATATTAATAAGGAATTAATTCACAAATTAAATCCTAATTCATCAGATTACAATTCACAATTACAATTTTTTCAATTTATTTATTAACCCTAGTTACAATAGCATATATATGATACTAAGTAGTACAACATCCGAAATAGCTACATAATGTTTATTCTTATTCCTCTCTTTTCGCTTCCTCTCTTTTCGCTTCCTCTCTGCTCTACAACGTCCTTCCGATCCAGTCGATTCCTCTTCCATCTTCCTATAATATTTCCTTTACTGTTTTGCTTGTCCTGGCTTTGCTGCATCTGTAGGTATATCACGTGTTCTATCGTCTCCGTTTCTTCCTTACATAGTCTGCACTTTTCTTCCTTCCACCTTTTCCCGGTCCTGTTTTCATTTCCGCATCTAAATCTTGCAATAGTTTTTATATTTTTGTTCTTCTGTAGATATTTTGGCAAGTGTAATGTTTTTATTTCTTTGTACGTGGTATAATTGTAGGTGCTATTTTCTATTTCATTGATTTGGTATTGTAATTGGTTATCTTTGTCTCTCTCCTTCTTATTCATTGGTATATTTACTTCCTCTCTCAATGTCCTCTATCTCCTTCCACCCCCATATTTCTGTCCCACTGTGCTTTTGATCAGGTAGTCGAACATCATTTTCTTGATTCTATAGTTGTTTTTGAATTCTCTTTCTGCTATGCTCCATATCTGCGGTATTAATCCATTTGCTTTTTTCTTCATTTGTCTTGTGTGAGCACTTGGTCCTCCGTTTTTCATTAGTGTGTATCCAAGGCGAGGGGTGGCTCACAAGCTCAAATTGTGTACACCATAATACAAAAACGGTATTATTTTGTCTATAATACCATAATACTAAAGATTACTCAAGAATACCAGATAATACCAATAATACCTACCTGATAATATAAAATAACTCCAAATAATACTAATAATACTTGGTTTAATACCAGATAATATCAATAATACTGGATAATATCGAAGATACTGTCAGTAATACCATTAATACCGAATAATACCTACTATGTTGGGTAATAATTTGTGTAGAACACATTATCATTTTCACTGTTTTTCTATAATTATTATTATAGTAAATATTATTATAAATTATTATACTTAATGTTTTCACGGTTTTCACTAACATCAGTCGATGTCTTCATTAAGCAATCTTGGTTGCTTTCTTTTTTTAGTGAAAACAAATCCAGTTTCTTCCAATTTAGCAACCAAATCTTGAACATAGGCATGGGTTAATTTTTATTTTTATTTGTTACTTAATTATTACATTTTTGTTAACTTGTCTTAATGAATATTGACTTTATTGGTACCACAACTTTTGTTACAATGCAACTAAAATTTTTAACTCGCTATCACGTTTTATTAATACATCCTCGAAAAAAATAAACTATAAACAAAATTTAAAGGAATTATTGGTATCAAATTGTTTTATAATATGGACGAATTCTATCAATTTGTAAAACCTTAGCTTAAAACGTATTTGGCTTATTGTAAATCTTTTCACGTTTATTTTAGTGCTTTCGCAAGAACCGCACTAAAATACTAATAGATATTATTATTAAATATTATTATTATCACTGGAAAGCATTTTTCAGTAGCTTTCCAACGATGTGTCACAAGTATGGGGTTGCCATTTAGAATTTTTGAAGAGGGGGGACTGGGGGGACTTCCGCAGCGACATGAACGTTGAAACTCAGCCGTCAGAGGGCAATTGCGGAGATTGCTAAGCTATACACGCATGTGCGCATTAGACACGTACGATCTCGAAGCACTACTTAATATTGGAATTAATAAGAAAAATACCCGTAATACTTGGATGAATATTAATATTACCCACATAATACCAATAATACCAACATAATAATAATACCTTCATAATACCAATAGTACTTGTATTACAGAATATAAACGGTATTACTAATAATACTAAAAAACAGTATTGAGTACTGTACTACGTATTATAATACCAGCCAAGTGTACACCATAATACCTTAGTGAGCCACCCCTCGATCCAAGGTATTTAAATTCCGAAATTTCTTCTATTTCTCTTCCTTCGATTTTCCACGATGTCTCGCCCTTATCCTTCTTTCTTCCTTTTGTAAAAACCATTATTTTTGATTTTTCTGTGTTTATTTGAATTTCTTTCTTCTTGCGTACCTTTCTACCTGTGTGATCATTTCCTTCATTTCTGATTGCTTTGTTGCAAGGAGCACCATGTCATCCGCGTATGTTAATGACCATATCTTTTGTTCTCCAATTTTTATTCCTCCTGCTTGCCATTTTCTTAATGCTTCTTCCAGGTCGGCCACATAAATGTTGAAAAGGGTTGCACTTGGCAGACATCCTTGCCCGACTCCATTTTCCGTCCAAAAAAAGTCTGTGTGTTTGTCATTGACGTTTCAAAAATATAACGCACCAGAAATATATGCAAAATGATTTGCGATTCAAAAAATTCAAGGTTAAAAACGGGTTGGAATTTTAAAAAAAGGTTTAAATTATTTAAAGAAAATACAAAACATTACCAAAAAGGTTTTTGAATTTTTAATAATAATGGAGCAATTCATCGATAATTTTAATAATTTGTTGAATCTTTCTGCACTAATGCCATTAATATTGAATAGTGTTATATTTTTAAATGCTATCTTTTCAAAATAAAATATACAGGGTGTTCCATTAAAAAATGAGCTTAGGTCAGATAACTTTATTACTTGAGCCCGTTGAAAACAACTTGAAAGAAACTTGTATAAAAAAATTTCCTTCGCTTTTAACTAAGAAAGTGAAAGTGAAATTTTACGCGCTATGATTGGCCTAAATGACCTTCTTGATGATATTTGTTATGGTGTCGTTATGGTTATGGTGAAAAAAATAAAAAAACGCAATTTTTTTGACACCCTGTATATTGGTTTGTCACATTTGATCCACAAACTCTTCAAAGATTGACGCAGAAAGTTGGTGGGTAAAGGAACGTTGAACTCACTGTTCCACCACCTTTCTGTAAAAAGCTCTTACATTGTGGTTCCTAGAATGACCGTCACCATTCTTCCGAGTGCAGCGAGGTCCCTGAAACGAGAGGTACAAATGGTACCAACTATGATAATATCGAGAGGTTAAGTAAAAGGGTCTATTAGGCACTTCATCTTGGCAAGGTTTTCATAATAATCCATTTTTTCACACGAAAATGTTACCTATTCCCCGCCCCTTAATTTATTTAAACGTTTCTGGTTAAAATGAAATTCCCTTGTTTTTGAATAGCAGCAGCCATACCAAAAGATGTAGATTCGTCCAATATTAAAGTGGTCACGCCGGGACCCAAAACCACGAACGTAACGAAAGGTTTTGACTTGGTCCAAAAAGAGGTGACACGATTAAACGTAACTCCCAGGTCGCAATCGCCCGCTTCGGGAAGAGTGACGCCGGTGAACGCGCCGGACCAAAATGACGAAACCAAAGGCGCGAAGCAGAAGGACAGCAAGTTGGACGCGAACGAGCAGTACAAAAAGGAACGGGGAGGCGCCAAGGAAAACCTGTACATGGTAGTAATAGGACACGTCGATGCGGGCAAATCGACGCTAATGGGACACCTGCTGTGCGCTTTAGGCCAGGTAAGCGCTCGACTTGTCGCGAATTTCGAGAGTCAAGCCGAAATTTTCAGGTAAACCAAAAAACTATGCACAAGTACGAGCAAGAGAGTCGAAAGGTCGGAAAGCAGAGTTTCATGTACGCGTGGGTTTTGGACGAAACTGGCGAGGAGAGGAATCGTGGTATTACTATGGACGTGGGGCGTTCGCAGTTCGAAACCGAGACAAAATTGGTAAGCGCAAAAACGTACGGAAACAAGAATGTCATTGGTCACATGGTTTAGTTCATTGTGCTTCCTAATCACTACACGTCGTCTAGTATAAAAACAGTCGCAGGTAGCCGCCCACTGCGATGATTGACGTGACTGTTTTTATACTAGAAGAGCAATAGAAAAAAGCTACACGTTAGCACAACTGAACAGATAATGCAGATTTATTTCGCAGGTAACTTTATTAGATGCACCCGGTCACAAGGATTTCATACCGAACATGATTTCGGGAGCAGGTCAGGCGGACGTCGCCCTACTAGTCGTCGACGCAACTCGAGGCGAGTTCGAGACCGGTTTCGATTTCGGCGGTCAGACGCGCGAGCACGCTCTACTTGTACGTTCCCTAGGTGTGGGGCAGTTGGCCGTCGCCATAAACAAGTTGGATACGGTCATGTGGTCGCAGGAGCGGTTTAACGAAATTGTCCAAAAACTTAAAGTGTTTCTCAAACACGCCGGTTTCAAGGAGAGCGACGTTGCGTTTGTACCGTGCAGCGGTCTCACTGGTCAAAACTTGATCAGGAAGCCTACGGAAAGCGAGCTGTTGCAGTGGTACTCCGGCCCGTGCTTACTCGACGTGATAGGTAAGAGACTTCCGTTGTTAGTTGAACACTCACGCGGTTTTTGTAGATAACTTTAGAACGCCAGAGCGGCCAGTGGCGAAACCGTTTCGATTTTCGATCAATGACGTTTTTAAGGTAAATTTCTGTAAAGGATTCGTTGTGAACCTGAACCTTGTGTTTTTCACCAGAGTACTGGATCGAACTTTTGCGTATCCGGACGCGTCGAAACTGGCACCTTGTGCTTGGGCGAACGCGTGCTGGTATGTCCGAGCAGGGAGCTGGCAACGGTTAAAGGATTATCGATCGAAGAAGTCAGCCAACAGACCGTGTTTGCCGGTGATCAGGTGTCGGTGACCTTGTCCGGAATTGATATTCAAAATGTCAGTATAGGGTACATACTTTGCCTTCCTCAGAATCCGGTGCAGATTGCCTCTAACTTTCAAGCTCGTATTGTGGTCTTTAACGTTACTGTTCCCATCACCAAAGGATACTCGGTTGTCATGCACCATCAAAGCCTAGTCGAACCGGTTATTGTTTGTAAATTAATCAACCAATTGCACAAAAGCACCGGAGAAATTATGAACAAACATCCGCGCTGTTTGAGCAACAATTCGAGCGCTACCGTAGAAATAAAGTCGTCCAGACCTTTGGCGATTGAGCTGTATAGCGAGTGCAAAGAGTTAGGTAGGATTATGTTACGAGTTGGCGGTGTTACCATTGCGGCCGGTTTAATTACGAAGATTATCTTATAAGCGTTAACACATAAAATGTGTTTTTTTTTGTAAATGATGAAAATGTAAAGATAATAGACTGACATTTTTTGTTATTTCTTTTCTTTTTACGGGGAAGTGAAAAAGATGCTTATCCTTCACCGTATTGTTCTGCAGATTTTGACGAGCCAAATTTTGTGGATCAATTTACATATCGTTATTGGATGAAATGATAATAATAATAACTGTGTACCTCCAATATGCATAATCCCTGTCCCCTGAACTGATTCAAATCTAAATCTGTAATTTAAAATTGGAACGAGGAACTTATCTCGAAATCAAAAATTGATTAGTTTATCTTTTCGTTTTCGGATGCAAACAACTTCGCCATTTTGGCGCTGTTCTTCTGGAACACCACTGCATCCCCAATAGTTCGACATATTGGATCGAAAACAAATTGTACCTTAGTCCTCGGACGTAAAGAACTTCATTGACAACACTGTTCAATCTTCTTTTTCCTACCTTTGGGCATAGAGTAAATAATATAAGGAGGTTCCATGCTGTATAAATTTGTGGCAGTGAGAGACTATCTCTGAACATAGATGGCGAAAAACAAATGCCGACGCTCCCTCTGAATTCAAGAATAGTGAACTAAATTATTATACTAACACTGCTTGTTAATGTTGTTATCTCAGCTCGCTGTGCGTTAATAAGTGGAGAATGGAGTGGGCGACACGCGACCCTGAAATGTATACTTTTATTTATCAGCAACATTTTGCATAATGAATGTGCTGCTTATTCTGCCATTGACGAAAGATGGTCTTTACCTTGACCTACCACAATTTGTCATTTAATAATAAAGTTTTGCATATCGTTTGATGATGCCCATTATAGAACATTATCTTAGCTATATTTGCATCGCAAGACGGCATAGCGTTTTAAATGACATCACTGATTTACGTAACAATTATTTTATGAAAACTCAAATTCGTATATTGTGTACAATAGGCAAAAAAATTTCATATTTATTGTGTGCATGTTTTTGAACATGAGAAATACATGCATGTACGGGGTGCTTGGATTTGGCCCGTTTTTAATAAGTTTATTACACATGATATATAGTATTAAGTATAGGCCAACTCTGTGCACAGTTTGAACCAAATCTGCCCAAGCGTTTGGCAGTTACCTATCGTGTTCACGGACGGACACCATCGACCTCCTTTATAAAGCTTGTATCGCTTTGTTCTGTAGCTTAATTATCATTACAAAAAAAAAGAAATTTCAATGCTGTGGCGCCTTGGTATAGAATTCGGTTTAATTTTGAGGTTTTCGTCACCTATGTGCTTAGAAACACCATAGAGTCGGTAAATTTGCCATGTAACAAAATCCAGAGTGTGTAGAGCACCATGGACTAAATTACACTAAGAAAATTGACGAGAAGTATTTCAGAAAAATTTCATCACATACGTCATAAGAAGTAATCTACATAATCATAAACGTCCGACTTCAAATTCTATTAAGATAAAAGTGAAAATGGCCTTGTAATGTGATCGTCATCTACGCCTACGTAGATTTTTGCTTTATCTTCAAGTCATAAAAGTAATTCAATCTTCGTAAAGCAGGAAGTAGGTCAGCGAAGAGAGAATTTTCCTGATTTTTCTGTGCGGAACTGCCCAGTGCCGAATCAGTTCCAATGTAGTATTTTTTGAATGCGTTTCTAGTCTATAACTTTTGATTGAAAAGTCTGATCGAAAAAGTACGAATTGTTTTGGATTCTACGCCCCAAAATTAATAAGAAAAAGTGTTTTCTCGAGAAATTTTGGTGCAGTCGATTTTTGGCAAAAAAGGAAGGTTATACACTGCCTTTTTTTGAGGCCCCCAAAAAAAATTGTCTCAGATCGACCCGGAAAAAAATTCTCTTATAGAATGTGGCCTGTAGAATCCATAATTTCAAACAGTTCCAAGATTGGGCTACTAGTTCAAAAGTTACAGCCCTTTGAATTTTTTTTCGAAATTGGTTTCTAGTCTAGAATTTTTGATTGAGAAGTCTGATCGAAAAAGTACGAATTGTTTTGGATTCTACGCACCAAAATTAATAAGAAAAAGTGTTTTCCCGAGACATTTTGGTGCAGTCGATTTTTGGCAAAAAGGAAGGTAATACACTGCCTTTTTTTGAGGCGCGAAAAAAAAATTGTCTCAGATCGCCCGGAAAAAAATTTTTCTTATAGAATGTGGCCTGTAGAATCCATAATTTCAAACAGTTCCAAGATTGGGCTACTAGTTCAAAAGTTACAGCCCTTTGAATTTTCTTTGGAAATTGGTTTCTAGTCTATAACTTTTGATTGAGAAGTCTAATCGAAAAAGTACGAATTGTTTTGGATTCTACGCACCAAAATTAATAAGAAAAAGTGTTTTCCCGGGAAATTTTGGTGCTGTCGATTTTTGGCAAAAAAGGAAATATTTATACATCTTTATATACAATGGTAGTATGGATGGAATTGATCTTTTCTCTCACAAATAAACTATCCTTACAGCACTCCCACATTTGTGAATTGCGCAAAAGGACCTTGTTTGCGTAAATTCCACACAAAATTGCTAAAGCAGTGTTAAAACGGTCTACGTGTACCGCTAATCCAACAAAAACGTTAGAAATTATACGCATAATCAGTTATATTTTCTCACTGTACCTATTTAATTTTCATGGCTAGCTAAATTCAAATAAAGTTTGTAATTGGGTAAAGGTAAGGCGTTAAAATAATAAAATAAATAGGTCTATGGCCTGAAAGAATTAAAAGACTCCTTGCATAGGAAGCATATATCACATTCCCGTGATTAAATATAATGCTGACAGCATCATGGTCTCTGTCTGGTGCAAAGTAATGACGTAATTCAAATCTCAACTTTGTTTGTCAGTGTATTTAAATAGGTAATACAGGTTACATGCTGCTCAGCGAAACAACAGCACAAGATAGCAACACTTCCTTACAAGATTTTCTATACTGCAACAATATCCTATCCCATGACACCTCTTTATATTATTTACTCTATGCTTTGGGCTTTTATGTCCACAATAAACATGAGACAAAATCGGGAAGGGAATTGGAACACAACTCAGAATTTTTGTGCGTTCAAATGTATTACGCACGCGACTTATTGGTTCCGCGGAGCAAATCCAAACCGAAAAGCCAGGAAAAAAGGAACCAAGAGGAAAAAAAACCAAATACAGATTGCCCCTGAAGTCATATACATGTGTTTGTTTTGCTAATTACTCTCAGCAGCGATGCGCATCGAGCCCTCAGAGTAAAACGTAAGTTTTCTTTTCCCAATTGCGGTAAAAATGTATGTACCGTTTTTATTAGGCCCATTGCAACCAATATTCTCTTTGATTTAGGGTGTCTACTGCAGTAATCGTAATTTTTTTTGTACCACTTAAATTTGAAAATACGCCACAACGGAAATAAACAAAACGTTCATCCAGTGATCACGTGTACCTACTAATTTTCTTCCGAACGTTCTGGAATCAGAGGCGGAAAGAATTCATGACTGGCGCTCATAATTAAAACCAACTTGTATCATTTGTTTGTTTGTGGTTACATTGATTAATAAAGTTGGTATTTCTGGACTAGGAAATTTGTATTTCTTCTAATTGACAAGTAACACAAAACAAGGCACATTCTGTAGCAGAACGGAAAAACGTACAATATTTACAAAGCACTACACAACGGCCTCGACAACCGAATTCCGTCCTTTATCTCTCGTCGCCTGGTAAGCCTCCCTCTCCTGGTCCGGATATTTAGTAGGTAAAGTGGGGGAATGCAGGTTTACTTTCGCGGGGTACCTAAAAGGGAAATGACAATCGTGGGGAGATCAGTGGCAGGAGTACTAACCGCACGCCGGCTATGTCCACTTCGTAATGACCCGACTGAACAAAGTCTGTCGTAACTATGTGTCGCACACCGTCGATAATGTTTTGAACAAAACCCAGGCACACCTGAAATTGAGTTTTTAGGTTAAGTTTCCCGAAGGCAACACCAAACCTGTTTCTTAAATGTGAATCCATATCCGGTCGTCGTGCATATACCGACATGCTTGTTGTTACGGTATATTGGCTCGCCACCCCAAGGCCATAGATCGAGTTCGTGATCGTGGTCATCTAATATGAGCTGAATGTACATTCGTTTAACGCCCTCCTCTCTTTGCTTCAATAGAGGTTCCTTTCCTATAAAGTCTTTCTACAATCAAAGCGTGAGAGACTAGCACTTGCCTTCGGCAGCTCACCTCAAATTTAACGCGCCACGTACGCCCGCACTCCAAAGGTGTCGTTCGAGTATCAAGATCTTGTCCCCAAAACGCGTAGAACTTCTCGATTCGCAACGCTCTGGTCGCGTAATAGCCGACGTGCCTCATTCCGTATTTCTCACCGGCCTTCATTAATCGCGAGTAAACGTGGAGGGCGAACTGAAAATTACCGGTGAGCTGCTTCGGAAGTAAAACGTGAGAAATAACCTCGTTGGGTATGTAGAGCACGTAACCGAGCTCCCCTGTATGTGTGAGATTCATAGTGCGGATACCGCTCACATGCCCCACGTCTAGCAACTTAATGGTGAAGAACGGAAAGTTTCGTGGGCTTAAGTCGGTATCGGTCAGTTCAGATAAAAGGCTTCTCGTTAGCGGACCCATGATGGCTAAGGCCGTGTACATGGAGGTGACGTCGGATAGTTCGACCGAAGGAGGTAGATGTCGCCGCAGCCAGACTTGGCAGCGAGTTTGCTGAATGGTCGGCGCTATCATCATGTAGCTGCAACGTGAACGTTACGAATTTCAAATAGGAAATTGGGTTATTACTGGTTTTCCGCGAGGCGCGCCAGCGAGCAATCGTTTTCGTAGCCGCCGTACTTGTTCTGCATCCCCGTGTGAATGATCCCCCCAATTGGAATATCGACACCATTCGAACAGATGTATTCGAGTGCTTTCACAACCTCATTGCCCTTGGACTAAAAATGTCTAATTACTAGTCAGGAATGGTTAAGGAAGGAGAGCTGCCAGACGATTTGAACAGCAGTGTTTGTAATTTAAGTAATTAGAACGGCTAGACGGGAATTGGCGTCCGACTGAG